TGATCCCCGATTGATCCTAGGGAAGGGTTACAGGCACGTTGGCCTGGGGGGTTATGGGCGCACTGACTCGCTACTTAGACAAGCCCTTTTATCCCAATGGTCTAGTGGTTGGGATTCTGACACCTTCATCAACGACTGTGGACAACCCGGTACCACGATCGCAGCAGTTTGTCACGGAGCTGCAGACAGCCCGCACGAAAGCAGCTGATTTTATTCGTAAGGCTAATACCGCGGCCAGCCGCCAGACGGACAAACATCGACGGAATTTACCATTCCGTGCAGGGCAGGTTGTGCTTCTGGACACCAAGAATCTCAGACTGCCGCAGCCCGCCCGCGAAACTACGGCCCCGATACGTGGGACCATTTCGCATCATCCAGATGGTGACACCTGTCACCGCGAAGCTGCTGCTGCCCGACGATTGGAAAATACATGACGCCTTCCACGTCAGCCTGCTGCGTCACTATGAACAGCCGCAGTCGCCTGCTGTTGCTCGGCCAACCATCGTGCCGACCACACGCCCCGTGGCGGAGCCCACGCTGGAACCTTGAAAGATTCTCAACCATCGCGTGGACGTGACTGCCGCCGGCCGCTCGGTGAAATTCCTGCTTCGCTGGAAAGAACGCACGAGCGAGGACGACACGTATGTCGCCGCTGATTCGCTACTGGGACATCCGGTTGTGGATGCTTACTTGGCCCGCCGAGGTGTCTCGGATATTCACCACCTTTCTTAAAGGGGGGGGTAGTGTAAGGGGGGGGTCAAACTGTACGCGTACAACCCCGGTTTTCGGAAAACCAGGCTCGGTCCGCCGACCTCGCCTTCCGAGCCACCACCGCGTCGCCTTCGGGTTTCCCAACCCCGAACCTGCACCCAACCATCTCGCGACCCCGCGACCTCGGCCTAGCTAGCTTCGCTATATTAGTCCTAGGCCTCGTTGTGTTCTCAGACGTTGTAATCACTTCCGCATTATTGAGTTCTGCGCACTCTTTCCTTTCACAACTCATAACACGGCATCTTGTTTAGCAACGAAAATCGCGAGACACAAGTGCCAGCTCGGTAGTCCCAGTGCCAGGGATGGGGAGGGGAGCAGAAAAGTAACCGTTGAGCTCATCAACTTCGGGGAGATTTTGATCCGATGATTTCCTCTCCCATCTGTGCTCCCTGTAATCTGCCTGCTTCCGTTTTCTCTAGATTCTGCTTCTGCAAGGCGATACGACTGCATGCAAGCAGTTAAAAGGAGCTATGTTTTTTCACCACAACATATTCACGCCTGCTTGGCGTGCTAGGAACCTCTAGTAACCTGCGACGCGTTCATGCAGTTTTCTTCCCTTTCCGCATACCCTTCACCTTTCCGCCATGGCGATTCGTACCTCACCACGGCCATCCAGCGCGTGGATTTACAGACTAAGGTACACCTTAAGATACATGACGCAGTCTTCTACGCCTCGGTCTGAGCCTTTTCCAGCGAAGCCTGGAATCACATCAGCACTATCCACACCATCAACACCTTCTATACCTTCCTTGCGAAGCCTGGAATCACATCAGCACTATCCACACCATCAACACCTTCTATACCTTCCTTGCGAAGCCTGGAATCACATCACCACTATCCACACCATCAACACCTTCTATACCTTCCTTGCGAAGCCTGGAATCACATCACCACTATCCACACCATCAACACCTTCTATACCTTCCTTGCGAAGCCTGGAATCACATCACCACTATCCACACCATCAACACCTTCTATACCTTCCTTGCGAAGCCTGGAATCACATCACCACTATCCACACCATCAACACCTTCTATACCTTCCTTGCGAAGCCTGGAATCACATCACCACTATCCACACCATCAACACCTTCTATACCTTCCTTGCGAAGCCTGGAATCACATCAGCACTATCCACACCATCAACACCTTCTATACCTTCCTTGCGAAGCCTCTACCAGTACGGGTTCAACCCACACCGACATGCGCAAACAGCAGCCGTCAGGATTCGAAACCTTGATCGCTGCCTCTCTATAATATGTCCCGTTAGATTCTTGTCCAGACTAGCCGCGGCTCCCGAGACCGAGGGTGCGAACGTGCGAACCGATCCGAGCTTCAACGGCAAACCAGTACTGGCGGTTGGGACGGAGGCTCGGTTGCGTACCGAGGGAAGAGAGGAGGGGGAAAGAGAGGGAGGAGAACCGGGAGAGAGCGAGAGTAGGGTGGAAAGGGAGGAGGTGGTTGGCGGAGGAGGGCGAATGAGACGTGCGGGAAGAGCGGGGAAAGCGGATGTATATGATGAAGGAGGCGGGAGAAGGCGTGGAGGGAGGGGAGGAGGGAGGGGAGGAGGAGGGAGGGGAGGAGGGAGGGGAGGAGGAGGGAGGGGAGGATGCGCCACCAGCGAGGAGGAAGAAGCAGTAACATTGATTGCTGGAGTGCTAAGAGAGAAATTTGGGCCTCAGATCGTGAGAAAGGAGGAGGAGAAGGGGGAGGGGTCTACAGACGGAACAATCACCGACTTGGAGGAGGCGAAGGGAGCAGAAGAAGATGAAGGGGATGAGGAGTTATTGGACTTCCAAATTGGGGAAGAAGGGGACGAGGGTGAGGGGGACGAAGCAGAAGTGCAGGAGGAGGAATTTCCACTAACCACCTCTCGTCCAAGAAAAGCACGTGCAACCTCTCTTTCCTCCCTCCTCTCACTCTACCGCTTCTTTTCCTCCCACCTCGACATCTCTTCCTCTTCCACTGTCGCTTCCCTCCTCGTCTCTTACCCTCCGCTCCTTCGGTCTGATCCCACCAACGACTTCCTGCCACGTGTCCAGCTTCTCCAGTCGTATGACCTATCCCGTGCCGACATCTCAACCATCACCATGAAAAATGCATGCTGGCTCCGATCCCCCCTTGCACAGATTCAGGATAAGCTTGACTATCTCTTGGCTCGGGGCGTCCGCCGAACCAAGCTAGGTTCGGTGCTTCGTGGTGCTCCTTTCCTCATCGTTATGCAGGCCCGTTCAATGAACCTGGACATTCTGGTGGAGGAAGCAGGGGTTCCTGTGGACAAGCTAAGCATGCTGATCGAGAAAGCCCCAAACATCCTATGCAGCAGTGAAGAATCCATACGAAGGCTGCTTGAGCAACTATCAGCGTACTTGACTGATGGATTCGAAGACATAAACGTCAGCAGTGGGCACCTGAAGCAACACCTGACGTGGGAACACATGGACAAGAACTACCTGAGAAAACTTCTGTTCAAATGTCCGCGCATCCTCCTTTCTTCCCGCCAGGACATCGCGACTAAGCTCAGCCTTCTACAGTCCTTCACTCCCCCTGGCACCCCATCTATAGCAAGGTCAGTTTTCCGCCTTGCCCCCACCATCGTCAGCCTCAGCTCGGAGAACCTCTTAGCTAAGTTTCAGTTCTTAGTGGAGCTACTGGGGAAGAAGGCAGTAGGGAGTCTGGTGCGAAGCCATCCGTCGGTTCTTGGTCTATCTTTAGAGAACATGCAAGGCACGGTGGCATTGTGGAGCGATCTGATTGGGCGAGAGAAGGCTGCGCTTGCAGTGGTGCGGTTTCCTTTGCTGCTGGTCTCTAGTGAAAAGAATCTCACGAGGAGTTTCAGAGAACTTGTTCGAGAAGTGGAAGAGGCATTGGAGAGTGGTGAAGAGACGTTGGAGAGTGGTGAAGGGGCGTTGGAGAGCGGTGAAGAAGATGAAAATGCAAGAGAAGGTCCTCCCTTTGACTCGCCTCAAAACCATGCAAGTGAAAGTCTGAAACAAGGGGAGAGCAGCTGTGGCTTTGCAGCCGGATTCAAGAGCTGGGCAAAAGTAAGTGCAGGAGATGGAGGCGGTTCTGATGTCAGCGCTGCCACCACAGCTCGTAATCTAGTGGTGCGTCTGTTGCTGAAGAATCCAGCGTCAATCTACTACAATTGGGAGAGAAATACGAGGCACGAGGTCGAGTACCTAAAACGGGACATGGGGCTGTCTATAATGGAGGTGCTTGCCTTCCCTAGTTTCCTAAGGTACAGTTTGGATCAGCGAATCAAACCGCGACATGTGGCACTGCTGAGCATGGGCTATGAGTTGGTGCCATATAGAGTTATGGCCGTTCAATGGAGAGGTGGACGTGTGAGGGAGAATGTGAAGGACACCGGCGCAGGGTTGGGAGATGGGTTGAAAGAGGTGAAAAAGGGTAACGGGGTGGAAGGATGTGAATGGGTGGAACGAGGAAAAGAGGTGGAATGCGGTAAAGAGGTTGGAGGTTCTAGTGGCCTGGAGTATATTCAAGGCAGCGACAGGTTCGGGACAAGAGCCATGGGTCAACAAGGCTTGGCGGAAGCGGCGTTGCAGCAGGCACGGAAGGTGTGTTTGGTTCAATTCATCCAGTGCTCGGACAAGCTATTTGAAAAGAGATTTGGGATACCGGTAGTACCCATTGATTCTCCCATATATGGGAGCTAATTCTCAATTAGGTGGAAATCACAAGTACAGGGTTTAGTTTAGTATCCCAGAAATCTACATTTACTGTAATGTGATGGATATGTAGTTTGAACAGAGCAGAGTGTAGAGGAATGGTTCATTATATGATAAGGGCAAGAGAGGAGGGTCCACGCATATGATCAAGCAGTGGCTCTCCATTCACTGTATGAGCACTTCATCTCATATACGGTAAATGGGAACATATCCACAGAATGAGTGCAGTATTTGTTCAAGTTCCCTTCTTCCCAGCTTAAGTTGAGCATTTTTATGTCCCTGAAACTACTTCACGCCAGATATGTCCCTCCATTTCAGCAGCACCTGAAGATCAACTCACACCTCTGCAGCTTGGCCTCAAAACTCGGTCGAGACGTCCCATCCCGGCATTATAACAGAACCCAACCCAGCATCGTCATTCACATCGCATTGTGTTGCACCTTAGCCATAGATTAAGACGTGGCAACACTGGTTTGAGACATCCCACCCTGCCAACTCAGCATATTACGGTACACGTCAGCAGCGCTGGGCTAAAAGGTCATCCTGACTCCAGCAGCGAGTTTCCCTTCCATCTGCGTGGGCGTAGGGAGAGAGGTGGGGAAGGTAGGGGAGGAAGGACACATCCCACCATGCCAACTCAGCATCTTAGTACACGTCAGCAGCATGGGGCTGGAGCCTGAAAGGTCCAGCAGCGAGTTTCCCTTCCATCTGCGCGGGTGTAGGGAGAGAGGTGCGGGTTGAAAGGAGGAGGAGGAGGAAGGAGATCAAGGTGGATTCCTGCCCTGCCTGAAAAAGACATGGGTTCTGAGATGCCTCTAATATTGCGAGGGAAGAACAAAAAAGCAAAAAGAGGTAGAAAGGAGGTTCAGCTCACCTGCACAGGAGGAACGTGCCCGATGGGAAGGTTTTGGAGAGATCACTATTAACAATACTACCTACCAAGAGAATAGGGTGTGCACAATCTTAACAACCCATTGCTGAGCATACATTCAAAGGTTGAGAACACCTCGTCCCCTGGGTCAATTCCTAAGGCGTCAAAGAAAATTACCTGCGGAGGAGGAAGCTTCCCAGGGGGCTAAGGTTGTTCACGTCATCGTCTCCCCCCTTGCCATGCCGCCTGTCCGCTCGCCCATACGCCAATCCCTCGCCCCCTCTGGATCAACTCTGAAGGCGCAAATAAAATTATCCCTCACCTGCGGAGGAGGAAGCTTCCCAGGGGGCTGAGGTTGTTCACGTCGTCGTCTCCCCCCTTGCCATGCCGCCTGTCAGCTCTCCCATCTGCTCCTCCCTCACCCCCTGGCCCCCCAAACTGCCTGCGCGCATTGGCCTTCAGGTCACGCAAGGGCGGCACCTCCTCTGATGCACTGTGAATGGCAAGTCGTGGGGGAAAAGAGGAGGTAACAAATCGCAAGCTTGAAGTGCAGCCCAAACTGTCCGCTCGCCCATCCGCCCCTCCCTCACCCCCCGGTCCCCCAAACTGCCTGCGCGCGTTGGCTTTCAGGTCACGCAAGGGAGAAACCTCCTCTGATGCACTGTGAATGTGGGAGTGAATGTGAATGTGAATGCACCGTCAGGTAAGGAAAGGGAAGAAAGAGATGGATTTGAGTCACGAAAAGGAGGCACCTCCTCTGATGCACTCTAAAGTAAGTGATGATACTTAGAGACTTGTTGCCTTTCCTCCCAACCATCTACACCACGCGGGCTGGTGGTTTGATAGCGCACCTGCCGAGTTTGCCGAGCAGGCTAGCGAGCAGCAGCTGGCAGGAGGAGCCGGGGGCACATCGTTCCATCTCCATCAACGCGTCTGCTGCATCTGCTGCTGCTGTCAGGCCTTATGCCATTCGTGTAAACCCCCTGCACTAAACTACAGCATACAGGCTGGTTGAGTTGAGGACACACCTGCCGAGTTTGCCGAGCAGGCTGGCGAGCAGCAGCTGGCAGGAGCCCGGAGCACACCTTTCCATCTCCACTAGAGCATCTGCTGCATCTGCTGCTGTCCGCACTGCTGCCTGCTCCTGCTGATCCGCTGCCACCTGGTTTGATTGAACAAGGGGCAGAATCGAGTCAGAAAGAGGGTGGAGGAGGAAACATGAGGCTCATCTGCGGCTACATCTGCTGCTGTCCGCACTGCTGCCTGCTCCTGCTGATCCGCTCCCCCCTGGTGTGAGCAAGCAGGAGGATATTCATATCAGAAAAGAGGATGGAAAGGGTACATTAGCTACATCTGCTGCTGCTGCTCTCTCTTTCTCAAAAAAAAAAAAAAAAAAAAAAAAGGCGACGGAAAGGGAGGGGGGGGGGAAGGGGGAGGGTGTGTGCCTTCATAATAACTGAACCCCTTGAAGCAAAAGAACCACCTCGCCATACCTCCTTGAATGCAGGCATGAGCACGAGCGAGAGCAGAGGCGACGACGACACAGCAGCATCCCTGCCAGCCACTCTCGCTCCTCCCTGCTCCTCCCCTCCCCCTCCTCCTCCGCCCTTCCGCCCCCCTGCCTTGGGTTTTCTGGGGATGGGAGAGGGAGAGGAAGAGGGATGGGGAAGCGAGAGGGAGAGGGATGAGGGATATGCCATCCCATATCAACACACCGCATACATTGCACATCATCTCATATCATCTCACAGCACTACCTTGTTCGAGCTGTGCCACTGTCCATGCCATCTGTCCCTCCCCCTCCTCACCTCCTCCCCAGACCCGCCCCCTCTGCTCGCAAACAGCATACATTGCACATCAATCCACATCATCTCGCATCAATCCACATCATCTCGCATCAATCCACATCATCTCGCATCAATCCACATCATCTCGCATCAATCCACATCATCTCGCATCAATCCACATCATCTCGCCTCATCCCACCCACACATCACATACCTTGTTCGAACGGTGCCGCTGTCCATGGCTTCCCCCCCTCCCCCTCCTCCCCCTCCTCCCCCACCCCCGACCCGAAACCCTCTGCTCGCCCCCTCTGCTCAACCGACATGCAACTCACTGCATACATCGCACATCATCCCATACACAAAGCACGTACCTCGTTCGAACGGTGCCACTGTCCATGGCATCTCCCCCTCCCCCTCCTCCTCCCCCGCCTGCTCTGCTCGCCCGCCCTCCCCCGCCCTTCTTCCCTCCCTTCATGGCCTTGAGTGCCTCTGCCATGTTGGTTGCCGAATCCTCCTTGCGCCCACCCTCCTCCGACTGAGGGAAGGAATGCGGAAGGAGGAACAGAGAAGGGGGACAACGGGGAGAGGGCACAGAAGGAACACACGAGTCAACGTAGCATGGCTCTTCCCTCCCTCCCTTCATGGCCTTGAGTGCCTCTGCCTTGTTGGTTGCCCAGTCCTCCTTCCGTCCACCCTCTGCGGAACCAGACTGGGGAAAGGAGAGAGCACACAAAAGGAACATATGAGTCAATCCAGCAGCATAGTGCTCCCCCCCCCCCCCCCCCCCCCCTTTTCTACACGGCCTTGAGTGCCCTTGTCATGTCGGTTGCCAAATCCTATCTATTCACGCCCACCCTCCGCAGAATTAGAGTGAGGGGAGAGGAGAAGTGGCGAGAGATACAAGAAAGAGGGACAGCGGAAGAAGGGCAGTGGGCACAGAAGAAACATGTTAATCAACTCAACCCTCTGCAGAGTTAGACTGAGGAAACCAAGGGGAGTAGTACACAAGCTCACCCAGAAGAGCGAGTGAGGGAGCCAGAACTCCCATAACACCCCTGGCACCAACCTTACTGGTGCAACTTTTGAGAATTCTCAGAAGTCGCACCAATAGAACTTCCATAACACCCGTGGCACCAACCTTGCCTTACCACCACCCTATCCACCCCAATTTATTGAGTTGATGAAAAAATCCACCCAAAAGAGCGAGTAGTAAGCCATACCACCTCAGGCACCAACCTTACCACCGGCCCATCCACCCCACCCACATAATGGCCCCACCCATCCATGCCACCACCATGCCATGCCATGCCACCATCCATGCCAACAGCACCCATGCCACCATCCATACCGCTTGAGAGCCATCAGGCAGGGGCGGCTTGTTGCCTCTCCTGCACCCCTCGGCATGCCCCTCAGTATTCTACCCACCATGCCACCACATCCCATCACCGATCCCATCAAGCCCCCATGCCATGCCACCATGCCATGCCAGCACCCATTCATACCGCTTGAGAACCATCAGGCAGGGGCGGCTTGCTGCCTCTCCTGCGCCCCTTGCCGCCCCCCTGTGAGGCAAAGGGAAACGGTTGGCAAAGCGGGAGACAAGAAAAGGCGGTAAGCGGGAGGGAAGGAAGTAAAAACGTGGCCCATCACGTTTCACAGAAACGGTGGTAAGGGGGAGGGATTCTCAATAGGCTTCAGCAAGACTGCAAGACTGCAAGGGTTGCCTATTGAGACGTGGTGACTTTCGACTCGACTCAACTCAAAAGTCACCTCGCAACCTATTGAGACGCCTCGGGGCTAGAAGGCAATCGGTTTGCAAGAAACAAAACTCTTGAAAGCCAGCCAAAACCCAAATTGCCCCCCCTTGTAAAATGTAAGAACCGAACTCACCCCCTCCTCATCGGTGCCTGATCCCTCACTCTCACTCCCCCACCCGCTCCCATACAACCCCCCCTTCTCCCCATTCGCCACTCCCTCCTCCCCTCCTCCTCCGCCCCCTCCTCCCCCTCCCCCTCCTCCTCCCCCGCCTCCTCCCCCTGCTCCTCCCCCCGATCCCCCAGACGACCCCCCTTTCCCCTTGCTGGCCTTAACCGTGCCTGTGTTCGCACCCTTCTTTACAGTCCCACTCCCAGAATCACGCGGCTTGCGCCGCACCGTCCCACTCCGCTTCCCCCCATCATACCCATCCCCTCCCCCTCCCCCTCCTCCCCCTCCGCCTCCCCCGCCCCCATCATCCCGCCCCAGGCCATCTGGGCCCCCCTCAGAGGGATCAGCAACAGCGGCACGAATCTGCCTGCGAAGAGTTTCAGTGGGTTTCATGGTGCCCGTGGCCGTGCCGAAATCCCAACTCGCCATGCGCGAGTGCCTGGAGAGGGTTCATGGTTTAAGGTTTAGGGATGAATGGGAGAAGGAAGAGAGCGCGGTTGGAAACTTGGATTGGAGGCGTCTCAGTGGGTTTTATGGTGCCCGTGGCTGTGCCAAAGTCCCAACTCGCCATGCGCGAGTGCCTGGAGGGAGGGGAGGGAAGAAGGGCGAAGAGGAGAGGAGAGCACGTTAGGGTTGGGTGAGCAGGAACTGAGGACGCAGAGTCTCATATGGTTTCATGGTGCCGCTGGCTGTGCCAAAGTCCCAACTCGCCATGCGCGAGTGCCTGGGGGGAGGGGACGGATGAGGGACGAGAGGAGAGGTGGGAACGTTAGGGTTGTGTGGGCGTGAACTGAAGATGCAGAGTCTCAGAGGGTTTCATGGTGCCCGTGGCTGTGCCAAAGTCCCAGCTTGCCATGCACGAGTGCCTGGGGCAAGGAGGGAGGGATGGGGTAAGGAAGACAGCACAGCTCTCCACCCTCTCCCTCCCGGACAATAGGTGTAGGCAAACACACAGAAATCCGAGGAAAGACACACAAACAGCTGAGGCATCACGGGGAAACTGCTGCTAGCCTAGTCCCCAACTCGAAGCACTTTCAGACAGTGTTGCCATGGCTAACCTCGGCACGCTGCTAGCAGCAGTGGCAGCAGCAACGGCGGCCGCGGCAGCAGCAGCGGCGGATTGGGGAGGGCCGTCCTCAGGGTCGTCTGGCTTCATGCGTGGCGATACCACTCGCTTGCTCCCCCGCACTCTCCACCCTCTCCCTCTCCATCCCTCACACTAGCTCATCTCAAGCCCAACCACACTCTTGCTCAAAACCCCCTTGAGGGACAAACCTGGGAGCACTGCTAGCAGCAGTGGCAGCGGCGACGGCGGCGGCAGCAGCAGCAGCGGCGGATTGGGGAGGGCCGTCCTCAGGGTCGTCTGGCTTCATGCGCGGCGATACAATGCGATCCCCCGCACTCTCCACCCTCTCCCTCACGCGGTCGATGATCCGCGGGGTCTTGCGTGCATACTTCACGAACCGATGCTTGAGTAATTCCTTGGCGCTGGGCCTCTGAATGCAGCCAAGCAGGCATTCGGAGAAATCATGCAAAGGGGGGGAGCAAGGCAAGCGATAGGCAAGGGTTGATGAGTCGCGGCAACACCACGCGCTCCCCCCCAATCTCCACCCTCTCCCTCACGCGGTCGATGATCCGCGGGGTCTTGCGTGCGTACTTGACAAACCGATGCTTCAGTAACTCCTTGGCGCTGGGCCTCTGTAAAAAACCAAGTCAAGGAGACGGTAATAAAATATTGGAAGAGTTCTCAACAAAAAAGCCGTATCACCTTCCTTCTCTCCTGTCTACCTCTCGCTCCTTTCACCTCTCCACCCACCGCCTCTCACCTTCCCATTCGCCCCCCTCACCTCTCTGGCAGTCTTGTTAAGGCAGAGGTTGACAAACTCCTTGAAAGGCTTCGAGAAATGGTCGTCCAACTGCAGGCACAAAGCAGGGTTGTGCGGGGGAATCGGAAGGAGAGAGTGGGAGGGATGGGCACGAGAAACGGGAGACGGGAGGGAGTCTTGTTAAGGCAGCGGTTGACAAACTCCTTGAAGGGCTTTGAGAAATGGTCGTCCAACTGCAGGCACAAGGCAGGGTTGTGCGGGGAGGGGCAGCAAGGAGGAGAGAATGGAAAGGAAGGGCCCTTGGGGATGAGGAAGGGTGCACGCATGGGGTGCAGATCCGCACGCACTCACTCACCCAAGGGGGTTCTCCCCTTACCCTTACCTGTGCACTCTCACCTGATGTGGAGGGTCCTTGGGAATGAGAAAGAATGCTCGCATGGGGTGCAGATCTGCACTCACCGGAGACTGTTCAATAAGTCTAAAGAACCGCGAGCATCAGGTGCCGCGGGTGCAAGGGAGCACTCTCACCCGCGGCGGGGGGTCCTTGGGAATGAGGAAGAGCGCGCGCATGGGGTGCAGATAGGCACCCTCACCTCACCTGCACCGCCTACACCCCACCTGCACTGCAGATAGGTGAAGGCTTAGTGGGAATATACGCTTATTGCGTATATACGCTTATTGCGTATATACGCTTATCGTATATACGCACTCTTATATACGCTATACGCTGTAGGGACGGGTTTGGAAATACGCTTTTTCGGGCAGAAAAAAAACTTCCCGGGCAGGGTCAAAAAAAAGGCCCGGGGGGGGGGGGGGGGGGGGTATGGGGGTGGGGTATGGGGCCTGAAGTTTCAGAGATTTTTTTTTTCCACATTACACATATACCACGGCCTACACATAACTACTGTCATCACTACTATCATCACTATCATCACTACTATCATCACTTACCATCATCACTTACCATCACTACAATCATCACTACTCCATCACGACCATCACTTCTCTCTAAGACAAGCTACGTACTACTACTCCTTAGGACTAGCCGCCCACAGCAAGCCACATTTGCCCCCTCTAGTTAGCGTACTCGTCTTCGAGGATGTCGTCTTCGCCTTCCTCCTCATCCTCTCCCTTCGTCTCGTCTTCCAGCCCATTGTATCCCGCCGGGATTGGAGGCTCCGCTCCAATCCCGGGCACCACATGTGGCAAGACATCAACGCGCGTGTGCCAGTTGCGCACAACATTCCAGTTGTGCGCAACATAGACCAAGTCCCTGCACTTGGCGGATCCGAGCCTGTTGCGACGTGCGGTGTGAACGGCATCCCACGAGGACCATCCACGCTCACAAGGTGAGGCTGACACGGCCTGAGACAGCACCCGTACCGCGAGCCCCGCCACTCGAGGGGCATCAGTCCCATTCCACTGCCACCACTTCACCATGCTATACTTTCCCTCTTTCACCAGCTTCCTCTGTGCCACGGCTTCCGGCATCCCAAAAGAACCCTTCATGTCAAGGAACGCCCTCAACCCGTCCCCCAGCTCAAGCAAGATGTCGCACGCGTCATCCCCCCCATCCTCGCGGCTCGCAAGGAACTCGGCCTGCTGGCTGATGAACGCCTTGAAGACTTTCGTGCACTCGGGATCAGTGCCGAAAATTTCTTCCTCCTGATTCGCGGGGTTGAGGATGCGGCCAGCGACATGCATGGCGCATGCGAGGCTGCCGTCCCAGCGGTCTCTGAGGATGCGGCGGATCTTGTCCTTGTCCCCGTCGCTCAGCTGCTCCTCGTCCGCATCGAGCAAGCCCCCCACGTCCTCAGTCAACTGCAGCATCAAATCGTACAGCCTCCCCATCATCCCCACGGCATGCCCGTCCGTCTGCCTCATCACCTTAAAGGGCAGCTTCAGCAGTGCGACGAAGAACTCGGCCGTCTTCCACCAGGCGGCATCATGGATCAGCGCACTGAACCCGTCACACGATTTCTTCCGGTCCCCTACCGCCCACTCCTTCCAACCCTCACTCGTCACCATGTTGGTAAGGCTGCCGCGCATCGCACATAGCCGGGATATTGCTATGTAGTTGGTCCCGAATCGGGTTCCAGCCGGCTTCAGCGCCTGCAGAACCTTCCCCTCCACCAATTCCGGCTTCCGCAGGTACCCTCGGGTCCAGTGGTGGTTGCGGACGAAGCTAGATATCTCCCCTCCCTTGTCGACCACCGGCTTAGCCCATCCCATCTTCCCGACATCTTCCATGAGAAGATCCAATACGTGAGTGGCGCACGGCACATCCTGAATGTGCGGCCACTCCTGTAAGAGCTGCTTCACCGCCACCGCATAGTTCGACCCCCCGTCCATGCAGAACGCAACAACGTTTTCTGGACCCACTTCCTCCACCACGGGCCTAAGAATTCCCGCCACGTAACCTCCGGTTTTCCTCTCCATGTTGCAGTCAATACAGTCGGTGAAGACGGCGCCGGAATCGTTTACGAGAAGCACGTTGGCCTGCGGCCTGCCGTTGCGGTCCGTCATCATGTCGGACGAAACCGTCACGCCCGTCCTCTTCCAGCTCGCCTTAATGCCCACCAAACCCTGCTCGATTCCGTTGCGACACGAGAGAAGGCCAGCACCGCCGATGTATTTCCTCTTGGGAGGGACGTAGTCGACGCCGGCGCGCTTGACGAGGTTCAATGCATTGACCATCAGAGGATGGTCAATGTGGCGCTCGGGGATATGGAGGGCGGCCCAAGCAAGCGCAAGTGCCTCGTCCGCTTCTCTCTTTCTTGCAGCCGCATCCCCATCAAGGTAATCGGTGATGCGCGCCCGCTTCACACCATTAGCCTTGACCGCGGCAACCGCTTCAGCTGCTGCCCGCCTCTTCTCTTCGGCCGCAGCAGCCTTTGCCTCGTATTTCGCGCGCATGGCCAAGCGCACATCTTGCGGCGCATCCTTGCAAAGCACCACTTCACGGCGTTTCATCCCCTTCCACGACGTGAAGTGTTGCGCGCATCGGATGGCAGCACCAGTGTAGACGTTGCTGCAGAACTTGCACTCGTACTGCTGAGCTTTTCCCTCGACCCTCTTGATGATGCGGAAGTGCTTGAAGACGGCATGGTCAACGTCGGGGAGATACTCCCGTGCCTCGGTTAGAAGAGTTTGCGAACTGCCAACGGTGTTAACTGACGGTGGCGTTAGAGGAGAGGTAGTACTCGTCGACATAGGCACCATGCGCTAGGGAATGCCTAGTGCTCTGCTGGTAGCGAGAGAAGACCTAATGAGTTGGATGTTGGGGGTGTGCTTGTTTTATGGCGAGTTGATTGTGGGAGTGGGAAGATGGCCAACAAAAATTGGAGAGGTGTTGGTTGCGAAGGGTTTGAATGCGGTACTGATAGTGAACACCAAAATGTGAGGGAACGTGCAGGCGCGACTCGACGAACGTGACTTTCCATTTGCGACACGAACTTTCAACCCACGTCCACGCTAGCACACAGCGCGGACGTGCCATCTGACCCCGCCAATGTCTTCGTCGTGCAATTCCGAAGCGAACCGTATAGGTTGAAATTTTCTGGCCGGGCTGCCCCAAAAAAAATTTGGCGAGCGTATAGCGTATTCGATAGCGTTTAGCGTTTTGCGTATACACGCTAGCGTGTATACGCTAAACGCAAACAGGTTTGAGCGTATATTCCCACTTAGGGTGAAGGGTGCAGTGCACTCTCACCTGCGGCGGCGGGTCCTTGGGAATGAGGAAGAGCGCGCGCATGGGGTGCAGATCCGCATTCACTCACTCACCCAAGGGGAACCGCCCCCTCCTGTTACCGTGCAAGCACTCTCACCTGCGGCGGAGGGTCCTTGGGAATGAGGAAGAGCGCGCGCATGGGGTGCAGATCCGCAAAGGGCGGCTCCCCTTTGGCCATCTCGATGGCTGTGATGCCCAGCGACCAGATGTCCGCCTGGTGGGAGAAGTGATGGGGAGGAGGGGGAAGGGAAAGGGGATGAACGCCAGGAAACGAGGGAGGGAGCAACGAGGAGAGTAAGGAGGGAAGGAAAGGGCGGCTCCCCTTTGGCCATCTCGATGGCTGTGATGCCCAGCGACCAGATGTCCGCCTGGTGGGAGGAAGATGTGGGAGGAGGGGGAGGTGGGAGGAGGGGGAGGCGGGTGGAGAGAGTAAAGGGTATGAGAGAAAGGGAGTGGGACAGCACACCTCTTGCCCATCTCAATGGCTGTGATGCCCAGCGACCAGATGTCCGCCTGGTATGGGAAGAAGGTGGAGAGAGGGGGAGCGGAGGGGGAGTGGGGGAGAGGATGGCAGTGCTATTGTTTTCAAACTCCGGAAAAAAAAACCCAGAAGAAGGCTATTCAACGATCGTGACACTTGGGCTTCAACAAACGCAGTGAGAATTCGGCAAAAAGCTCACCTTCTCGTCGTATCCGTCGGTGTTCTGAATGACCTCTGGCGCCATCCAAAAGGGCGTTCCCACAAACGTCTGTTTCATGCAGCAAGCAGGCATGCGGAAGGAGGAGTAAGCGCACAGAAGGGGGGCCGTGCGTGACAGTAAGAGGGGAATACTCAGTTTCAAGGCGTTGAAACAGGTCAGGCACAAGCGAGGTACGTGGAACAAACAAACAAACAGTGAGAAATAGAAGCACGCACTTCAAGACAGGAACCAATACGACAATTTTTGAGTCGACTCAAAAGTCGACTTAGCACACACTTCAAGACAGGAACCAATACGCCAACATCCCGAACTACAACCGCATCTTTTGTTTGGATATGGTTTTGGTGAGCTTGGCGGCGGACACAAGGTAAGCTTTGCGTCGACTCAAATATCACCTCGTTACAATGTTACGGACGCACCTTTCGCTTGGAGATGGTTTTGGTGAGCTTGGCGGACACACCGAAATCAGCCACCTTGACATCTCCATCCTCGTTCAACAGAATGTTGGCCGCTGCTCAGTGGCAGGAGACATGGCAGGGTTACAGAGGGTTGGGCAGGGGTACAGAGGGTTGGGCAGGGGTACAGAGGGTTGGGCAGGGGTACAGAGGGTTGGGCAGGGGTACAGAGCAGCAGATCATGACAGGTCAAGAGCAAGCAGCAAGTCGTTGGCTGGATATGGTACTACCACATCACATCACAATCAGGCAGCCCCCATTTGGATTCGCACCACATGCACCCCACCTTTGATGTCACGATGGATCTTCTTCTCCGAGTGCAGATACTCCAAAGCCTGCAGCAGGTCGTGCAGGATGTACGCTATGGACGCCTCGTCCAGAGGGGCCTCTTGCAGCTGCGGATTGGGGAGAAATGGTGAAGGGAAATGAGAGAAATCAAGACAGGGAGAAAATGACAAAGGGAACTCGGGACTCCAAAGCCTGCAGCAGCAGATTTGATCTGAGGGAGCCCTCAACGAGAGATGGACTGTGAGATGTTTGACTTTTGAGCCTTGACATGATTGTTTGCACAGTGTGCACAACCTTCTCAAACATTCTCATACATACTGCGGTGCAGTATGTATGTGCACTGCTTTTGCGTCCACAACCTTCTCAAGGAAATTCAAAAGAGAGACTCACCAGGTCAGCGACGCTGCCACCAGCCGTGAACTCCATGACGATCCATAGCTTGGTGTTGTGTGTAGTGCATTGCTCATGACCTCTTCGGGAATACTCAAAGCGAGACTCACCAGGTCGGCCACACTGCCGCCCGCCATGAACTCCATGACGATCCATAGCTTGGTGTTGTGCACACTGCTGCCGTAGTACCTGTGTGGGGGTGGAACACGGAAAATTACATAGAATCGGAATATGTTGACTGCATATGAATACGAAGCAGACTTGCAAACTAGTAGTATGCTAGAGCTGGTATTTGCTTTGGGAGGAACATTACAATAGATAATGCTAGCCAGGCTCGCTAGGTGTGGGCCTCAAGGTCACAGCGGCACTGGCATGGCATGGCATGGCATGGAAGGGTATGGTACCTGGTGATGTTGGGAGCTCTGCACTCTGCCAGCAGTGCAATCTCCTGCTCCCATGCAGTGACACATGCACGAACGCGCACAAACGCACACACACGCACGCACACAGGGAGGGAGAATTCGCATGCACAGAGAATTGTGCAAGTGCAGATTGTCAGGGCAGGTTTGAATGGATTCAGGAATTGAGAAGATTTGCGACGAGTTGCAACGGCTCAAAGAGACTTGCAAAGACTTGAGTGATTAACAGAAGACAGCAAGCAGCATTTCTACTATACGTGAACCTCTTTCTGCCATGTGAATTGCTCACCTTTTGAATATCCTCCACGTCATCCTCACTGCAGCACAGCAACACAGGAAATGGCACGCCACAGAGCAGACATGGCATAGCATGGCATGGCAGCAGAGCAGACATGGCATGGCAGCAGAGCAGACATGGCATGGCATGGCACAGCAGCAGAGCAGACATGGCATGGCATGGCACAGCAGCAGAGCAGACATGGCATGGCATGGCGTAAGAAAGGTAAGAAGTCCGCTTAAACCAGAAATTTGAAGCAGGATTGTTTTGCAGGAACGGCAGGACAAGCTTAAACAGGCTGCTGGGACGAGCAATTATTCAGGAAGCAAAATGGATGACAGGACGAGGGCGAAATGGGATAAGGGAATGCGGAGAAAAAAACAAGATTCTGTCATTCATATAAATAACGACAATCAGGAACGTACGCTTCTTCCAGGTCGATGATCTTCACAGCCACCTGCTTGCCCGTCTCCTTGTCGATCCTGCACGATGTGGTAACCACATGGTAACACCTAAGGTCAGCACGTCGTCACACGAGACAATTTTGAGGAAGCTGAAGTCTGATCTGATTGTTTGTATCCTGCTTGGGCGTCGCCTTGTCAATCCTGCACATTGCGGTAGGTGAGTTCATGGTCGCACCACAGGCCAGCACATGGTCGTACCCCATTCGTCATGCTTCATGCCATCACGTGTTCAGATTCTAAGTGCTGACAACGCGTGCGAACTGCACTGAAGGCCGTGCGAGAACGAAGATATCACGAGTCGAGCATGATTGGATTATGAAATGACTCCCAGCCATGAGGTGCATGGCACGCCAAGCGACGACATGGAAAACGACCGTCAGCCATGCGAGTGGAATTAGAATTACGAGGATGGATTTCACAAGAGAAATCGAAGGGTGTGAGCGCGGTCCATCCTAGGAACGATATTGGCAATGGCAATAGCAACGGAGACTTACCCCTTGAACACATCGCCGAACGACCCTTTTCCAATGAGCTCTGTCAACTGAAACCGCTGGTCCATGACGACACGCCACGCCTCTAATCAGCCACCCGAGTGTTCGACGCTTTGATTCAAGGTGCAGGGTAGGTTTTCGGAAAATTAATGCTAACTCGTTTATGGATTAGGAACCAGAGCTTCTGAGCACAGAAGGGGAAATGCAGGAGTAATTACCCTAAACGTGCTCGTAAAGCACGAGCCTTGCCTTCAATGACGAACCCTAACTTGCCGAAGCGGTTAGTCTGCCAGCGCTGCAAACGCGGAAAAATGCTAAAATCTAGGGCAGCATTGACATGATTCCTAAGAGCCTTGTCGGGCAGATTTAACTTCGACGTGGCCCGACAGGACGCGGCATTGAGCGATGAGAGTCCAGGGAGTGAACCATGGCAATCACTTCGAAACATCGCTTTAGCTAGCCCGAATGGCGAAGGGCCGAATGAGACGAGAACAAAGCCACTAGACTGAGGTTACTTAGTGGAACTGTGCAAAGATATTAGGGATAAAATGGATATAGCCGCATTTGGTGGGAGTAATCAGCAACAACCAGCTCCTACCAACTCAGCCTGCTGGGCTGGCGAGTCGAGTGACAGCGTTGCTTTTCGTAGCATACGTCCCTTCAAATCGTGGTGGGGGAGATTATGTTCGCCAGTCACACTTCGGCAGAGGTTCACGACTTTGGTAACCGTAACACAGGTTTCTCCCCGGTGGTAACCCGGGTGTTGCAGGTGTGTTGCAGGTGTGTTGCAGGTTTTGCGAAGGCTAAACTTTTGCCGAGGTTTCGCAGATTTCTTTGGGAGTCGATGAGAACATACCCCCCCTGAAAATTGCTGCGTGCGTTATTTCATGGCTCCGTTTCTGCCTGAACCAGACCAGAGACTTGTCTAAACCAAGTTCTTGCCGCGCCGTCTCGTGATCTGAAAATTTACTGTTTGGGTTCGCGAACGACACAGATCCGACGGCATTCGTCAGAAAGATAGCCCTAAGGAAACTCCGGGCCCTCTATTGCGAGCATTAGCCCGACCTTGATCGCAGTCTGATCTACATCTCTCCTCCTCTTTTGCCGGAGATGGCCGGAGACGAAGACGACGGCCTCTTAGACTTCGAAACAGAGCTAAAACTCAGTATTAACCCCAACATTCAGGTCCGCATTGGCGGTCCGCTCAATCCGCCTACCACCGCTCCACACAACCAGCAACCGCATTCCCGGCCCTCGCCCTCTATCCCTCCTCCGGAAATCACGGAAGAACCTGGTCAGGTTCCCAGCAATCTCGCCGCATTCTACGGCGATCATGGCGCAGCGGCCTCTCAAGACGCGGAAATTGCGGTCAGCCCACTATTGGAGTTAGAATCCCCTAACCACTCGTCTGTGGGAGGCGCAGGCGGCTATATTTTCAGCCCCGCAAATGTCGGCGGCCAGATAACCTCGTTCTTAGGCGCGTCCGTCCCCGCAACTCTCGCCGTGTTCAGCGCCGCGTTTTCCGGGCTGGCTTTCGCCATCAGCAGTGCGCATCAGGGTCTTCCCGTGGCCGCGCATTTCGGCGACTCGGATAACGAAGAGAACACGAGAGGCTTAACGCGTATGCCTCTAACGGGGACATCTGGAGACTCGTTAAGGAACCCAACCAGGTGTCAACAAGCGTGCATACAGTTCTGGTCCGACCCAAAATATTACTCCATAGCGACATTTGTACTGTACCAGATATTCATTGTACTCGTTATTTACCTTTTCCACCTCATGGGAGCTTCTCCTGGTTTCACGGCCTTCCTCACAACCTCCTGGGCGGTCATTTTCGTGGGTAATTTACTCCTGGCGCTGCTTCTACCCGGCCTACTCGCTCGAGAGTTCCTGAAGCGGTACGCCAAGCGCGATATACTGGAGGCAGCTAAAGTGGGTTACTCTATAGCGGGGCAGCGGAGAGGAGGGCGAGTGGTGGTGCTGCAAGGGCGAGTGAGCCTGCCTGCATCGCCAGCATCCATGCCAGGAGGGTCCAGTCTCGATGGGGATCAGGTAAGACCTGTTGCTTTGAGATGGAAAACTGTTTCTCAAAGCAGAAGCAGTGGTGCTGCGAGGGCAAGTGAGCCTGCCTTCCACGTCTGCATCCATGCCAGGAGGGTCCAGTCTCGAGGGGGATCAGGTGAGAAAGAGATATGTGGTATAATAAGAGTAAGATGGGAAGATGGTGGGAGTGTAATGGGAGGATGGTGGGAGTGTGATGGGAGAATGGTGGGGGGGAATATCTTCCTTCCAGCGCACCCCCCTCTCTTCCAGGGTTTCCTCATCATGAGCACATCCCTTCAATCGTACCTCGCTCGCAGAGCCACAGCCTTCTCTTATTTCAGGGATTTCTTCACCTATTCTCCCCCCACACACCCCCACTTTCCTCCTCACCCCCCTCTCTTTCAGGGTCTCCTCATCATGAGCCACGCCCTCCAGTCTTACCACGCCCGTCGAGCCACGGCCGTCTACCACCGCCAGAGTAACATATCTAAGCCACTCTCTCCCCACCACCTTTTTCCTCTCCCCTCTTCCCCTCCGCCCCTCTCTTCTCCCCTTCCCAATATCAGGGTTTCCTCATCATGAGCACCTCCCTTCAGTCGTACCACTCCCGCCGAGCCACAGCCTTCTATCGCCGCCGGGAGCACCTGCGGCAGATCCTGGCCGTCGATTTCCGCATATCCGACAGCAGCGGGGACAGCATTCTCGTGTGCGGGCGGCGGGCGGCGGACCGAGGGAAACTGGCGGCGTTTGTGCAGCACGGGACGGTGGTGCCTTTGGCGTCTAGCAAGCGGATCATCGGCTTCCTGGATACTTCCTGGCTGGAGCAGGAGCAGCAGTTTCTGGAGACGCATCCCAACTTGCAGCCATCGGATCTTGTCATCTCCCGGGGGTAAGTTAAGGCATGAGGGAGGTAACCTTACCTGTTTGCTTGTGTGCTTTACAAGTCTATTCACATGCTGGTCTGGAGCAGGAGCAACAGTTCTGGGAGACCCATCCCAACTTGCACCCATCGGATCTTGTCATCTCCCGAGGGTAGGTTAAAGCATTAGCTGCGTGTTTGAAGTAGTCTTTAGAAGCAGGGTTATCTTACCTGCACATGTGCTTGTACAAGTCGTCCCTTTCTAAGCTGTTCTTTTCCCAGCATCACAAACGCTTTTTTCTCTACCAACCAACCCTCCCTCTTACCTCTCATGTACCCACAGGATGGTCACAGAGGGGCAGACAGTGAGCGTGATGGGTCTGCTAAGAGAATCCCGGCCTCTCGAGGACGACGGGGAGACGATCCGCAGCAGCAGCGTGTGGTCTACGGCTCAGGAGGGGCTGGTGCTGGAGCCGCTGTGCTCGCCTGTGAACGTGGGGGAGTTCTTCCTTTGCTGGGGCTTCTTTCCCGTGTATTTCCCAACTTGGGTGTCGGGGCTACTGGTCTCAGACAATCAAGGGCTGTTCTAACTGTCAGGAGGAGGGAGATGGCGTGGTGCTGCGTGGTGCTGGAGCCTCTGCGCTCGCCTGTGAACGTGGGCGAGTTCTTCCTCTGCTGGGGCTTCTTCCCCTTATACTTCCCCACCTAGGTCTCTGGCCTCCTGGTCTCTGACAACCAAGGGCTGTTTGAACTGTTTGGGAGGAGGGCATGCTTCCAGCAGCGAGGGACATTACTAATTATCGTAGCAGGGACATAGACTGCTGGACGAGTTGGTAACCAGGGCTGTTCTGGACAACCTTTTATGATCCTAGCACACTTTGTTAACCTTTGGGCAGTAGCCAGGGGAATTGTCTGTTGGGGAATCTGGTAACCAGTCACACAAGACAAGACACCTTTTTGTATGGTCACTCCCTGAAACTCAAGGAACTGGAATACGTATCAATAACGGTAGAAGATAGTGGTAAAGGGAAAGCATCCACCATTCGTTATTTTTTGTTTTGTCACGGGGCGAAAAGAAACCCCATCTACTCGCTTGACCTGCGTTGACTTCTCTCGTCCAACCAGTCAGTCATATCCCGCAGCACTTTCTCAGCAGTCTCCTCAGGCTCCCCCTCAGTCAGAAGGTGCCACGCACCCTCATACACCTTCAACGTCTTGTCCTCACTCCTTGTTCTGTCATACAATGCCTGACTGCCGTCCAGCTCTGTGACAATGTCAGCGTTCCCGTGGAGGAGGAAGGGCAGGGAGAAGAAATCCCTGTGGAGAGAGAAATTCCCTAGATTACCCGCTTGACTTGCGTTGACTTCTCTCGTCCAGCCAGCCAATCATATCCCTCAGCACCTTCTCAGCAGTCTCCTCAGGTTCCCCCTCAGTCAGCAGGTGCCACGCACCCTCATACACCTTCAACGTCTTGTCCTCACTCCTTGCCTGGTCATACAACGCCTGTGCAGAAAAATCCACTCTCTGCTCTCTGCTTCCTATGGTCTCTGCAGCAGATCCCCATTTACCCGCTTGACTTGCGTTGACTTCTCTCGCCCAGCCAGCCAATCATATCCCTCAGAACAGTCTCAGCAGTCTCCTCAGGTTCCCCTTCAGTCAGCAGGTGCCACGCACCCTCATACACCTTCAACGTCTTGTCCTCACTCCTCGCTCTATCATACAATGCCTGGCTGCCGTCCAGCTCTGTGACTGTGTCGGCATCCCCGTGGAGGAGGAGAAAAGGCAGGGTGATGGAGGGCAGGGAGGCCTCTGCGTCTTGGCTGGCGTGCAGCATGGTGAGAGCTGTTCGCATGCGCGGGCGAGCGCGGTAGGTGTATGGGCTGGCTGCTATCTGTTACGGGTGAGCGGGGGGATGAGGGCGGGAGGGAGGGGGGTAGGGAGAGGGTTTGGGGGCAGGGGATGGAGCATAATACAATGGCATGCCCGGCTGCCGTCCAGCTCTGTGACTGTGTCGGCATCCCCGTGGAGCAGCAGGAAGGGCAGGGAGATGGACGGGAGGGAGGCCTCTGCGTCTTGACTGGCGTGCAGCATGGTGAGGGCTGTTCTCATGCGCGGGCGAGCGCGGTACGTGTATGGGCTGGCTGCTATCTGTGTCGGGTTGGGGCGGGAGTGGATGGGGAAGGGGAGAACTTGGCGTCCTGGCTCGCATGCAGCATGGTAAGGGCTGTTCTCATGCGCGGGCGAGCGTGGTAGGTGCATGGGCTCGCTGCTATCTGTCAGGGGGGAGCGGAGGGGGAGAGGGAGGGGGGTAACGAGAGAGGGGTTGAGGGCAGGGAAATGGGCATCATACATTGCCTGGCTGCCGTCCAGCTCTGTAACTGTGTCGGCGTCCCCGTGGAGCAGCAGGAAGGGCAGGGAGATGGAAGGGAGGGAGGCCTCTGCGTCTTGGCTGGCGTGCAGCATGGTGAGGGCGGTTCGCATCCGCGGGCGAGCACGGTAGGTGTATGGGCTCGCTGCTATCTGTGTCGGGTTGGGGCGGGACGGGAGTGGATGGGGAAGGGGAGGACTTGGCGTCTTGGCTGGCGTGCAGCATGGTGAGGGCTGTTCTCATGCGCGGGCGCGCGCGGTACGTGTATGAGCTCGCTGCTATCTGTCGTGGGGGAGGAGAGGGGTTGGGTTGGTGGCAGGGGATGGGGTATGCTACAGTGCCTGGCTGCCGTCCAGCTCAGTGACGGGTATATTCAAATGTCCTCGCACTACCCCAGCTCACCTTCTTGAGCTTCTCCGGGTAGCGAATGGCGGAGCTTTTGACGGGGACGGAGTGAAGACTCAAAAGCGGGCAGCGAATGGCGGAGCGGAGGTGACGATGTCAGCAGCAGAACGCACTACCTTTTAGGTGGCTCTGAAAACCCTACAAAAAAACCTGCAATACTCTGGGAAATCCGAAGAAACTCCCCATCTCACCTTCTTCAGCTTCTCTGGGCAGCGAATGGAGGAGGTGACAATGTCAGGGGAGAGCACTATCTGCCGGGTAGCGAATGGCGGAGTGGAGCAATATCCAGATTCAAATGTCCTCGCACTACCCCAGCTCACCTTCTTGAGCTTCTCCTGGCAGCGAATGGCTGAGCGGAGCTTTTGAGTCGACTCAAAAAGCGGGCAGCGAATGGCGGAGCGGAGGTGACGATGTCAGCAGCAGAACGCACTACCTTTCAGGTGGCTCTGAAAACCCTACAAAAAAACCTGCAATACTCTGGGAAATCCGAAGAAACTCCCCATCTCACCTTCTTCAGCTTCTCTGGGCAGCGAATGGCGGAGGTGACAATGTCAGCGGAAGGCACTATCTGCCACGTGGGTATCACGTACGCCAGGCCCTTCAACAGCCGCACCAGGATGGCTGGCGGCTGCACTTTAGCTGATATCTGGTGATGGGAGCAGAGCGCACAGGAGGGCGTGACAATGTCAGCGGAGGGCACTATCTGCCACGTGGGTATCACGTACGCCAGGCCCTTCAACAGCCGCACCAGGATGGCTGGCGGCTGCACTTTAGCTGATATCTGGTGATGGGAGCAGAGCGCACAGGAGGGCGTGACAATGTCAGCGGAGGGCACTATCTGCCACGTGGGTATCACGTACGCCAGGCCCTTCAACAGCCGCACCAGGATGGCTGGCGGCTGCACTTTAGCTGATATCTGGTGATGGGAGCAGAGCGCACAGGAGGGCGTGACAATGTCAGCGGAGGGCACTATCTGCCACGTGGGTATCACGTACGCCAGGCCCTTCAACAGCCGCACCAGGATGGCTGGCGGCTGCACTTTAGCTGATATCTGGTGATGGGAGCAGAGCGCACAGGAGGGCGTGACAATGTCAGCGGAGGGCACAATCTGCCACGTGGGTATCACGTACGCCAGGCCCTTCAACAGCCGCACCAGGATGGCTGGCGGCTGCACTTTAGCTGATATCTGGTGATGGGAGCAGAGCGCACAGGAGGGCGTGACAATGTCAGCGGAGGGCACAATCTGCCACGTGGGTATCACGTACGCCAGGCCCTTCAACAGCCGCACCAGGATGGCTGGCGGCTGCACTTTAGCTGATATCTGGTGATGGGAGCAGAGCGCACAGGAGGGCGTGACAATGTCAGCGGAGGGCACAATCTGCCACGTGGGTATCACGTACGCCAGGCCCTTCAACAGCCGCACCAGGATGGCTGGCGGCTGCACTTTAGCTGATATCTGGTGATGGGAGCAGAGCGCACAGGAGGGCGTGACAATGTCAGCGGAGGGCACAATTTGCCACGTGGGTATCACGTACGCCAGGCCCTTCAACAGCCGCACCAGGATGGCTGGCGGCTGCACTTTAGCTGATATCTGGTGATGGGAGCAGAGCGCACAGGAGGGCGTGACAATGTCAGCGGAGGGCACAATCTGCCACGTGGGTATCACGTACGCCAGGCCCTTCAACAGCCGCACCAGGATGGCTGGCGGCTGCACTTTAGCTGATATCTGGTGATGGGAGCAGAGCGCACAGGAGGGCGTGACAATGTCAGCGGAGGGCACAATCTGCCACGTGGGTATCACGTACGCCAGGCCCTTCAACAGCCGCACCAGGATGGCTGGCGGCTGCACTTTAGCTGATATCTGGTGATGGGAGCAGAGCGCACAGGAGGGCGTGACAATGTCAGCGGAGGGCACAATCTGCCACGTGGGTATCACGTACGCCAGGCCCTTCAACAGCCGCACCAGGATGGCTGGCGGCTGCACTTTAGCTGATATCTGTGTTAATTTGTGGGTCCAAAAACAAATTCATTATGGGTGATAAATATCACTCCCTGATCGGAAACGCGCAGAAAAAAAATATATTACCCATTCGGAAATTGATGCGACTAGGGAGGCATCAACCCTGAACACAACGAAGGTTCCCGTTTTCAAAGTTGATCCATCCCGAAAATGCATCCAGGTTCCCCTTGGGGTTTTAGTTTTTTTGGCTGCCCTAAGAGTTTCTGGCTTGCTAAACGACGCTATTGGGTGGAAGGTGATGAATCAGTAAACATCTCCATGTAAAATGACGCGCGAGCGAAAATGCAAAGTGTTAACGGACATACGTTCAATAAATGATACCTTTTTGCAAATACCTTTTAAAGCAGTGGTTTGGTTAGTTCCGGGCCTCTCGGCTTTTGTTTGAGAAACTCCGTGGCACTTTTCGGCCCCTGTATGATCTTCTCCCTCCTTATGACGGGAAGAGCAGCTCCCGTTGGCCGATCTCGTCCACAAGTTGACTCTCTTGATATCTGTGGGTGGAACATCGTCTCCATTCGATCCAATTATCCAACCAGCCCCCCTCCAACTGTACTATGTCTTTGCTGCCATGACTCATGAATTGTCTGTGGTGCATCTGCAGCTGCATTTCATTGTCCAACGCTCAACGTGGCCTAGTTCAACACCACATTTGTTTTCCGTGACCGCTGAATTTCACCACGGATTTTATGCCACATGCATGTGATCACCAGTGTGCGATAGCACACACCACTACCTTATCTGGACACCACCGCTCCACTGTACTGTTCACGCGGTTATCTGAATCAACAGAAGGTCTGAAACAGAGGTCTCGATTCATTTTGGGGCACGCTGCCTGATCCGAGTTGTGACCCGTTACACCCTGCCTCTGCAGTGTGCCTTGGTGGTCGTACCCAAGAAATGGCAGTGTGATTTTTTTTCGAGGTCGAATCTCGCAGGGTGAGAAATCCAAAAACACTGCCTAGCTAAAACTTTTCGTTCTAGCAGTCGATCCTGCCATATCGATGATTCCTAGAAGCCAGAAAATCTTGTCGAACCGGGTCGTCCTGGCTCGATTCTAAGTGGTCGAGAACTATGCGTAAGTGCGTGGTGGTTGAGGTTTTAGTGGTGTAGGTGGGGAGATGAGAGGCCTGTCGGTGGGTTTTCTAGGTGCGGTCACTACTAAAACGCGCCACTCTCTGTGCTGGAGCTGAATCTATGGTGTTGAAAGTACTTAGCCGATTCTGGAATTTCAGTCACAAACGCTACTGGACACATTTCAGTCACAAACGCCACTCACCGTGCTAGAGCTGAATCTCTGGTGTTTCAAGTACTATCCGATTCTGGAGCTTTACTCACAAACGCTACTTAGAGGAATAGCCGCGCAGTTAGTAAAGTTCAACAAAAGAGGAAAGTTGGCAGGGTATCTGCCGTAACCAGCCGGGAAAAGGCAGTGTTGCACATAATCGTAAAACATCATTTGCAGGGTGTGTTTTCAGCCCTGCCTGACGATGACAGGGTGGACGCCCAGCCAAACCCAGTTCTAGCAGTGTGGGTCCAAAATTTCACCCCGAAATGCATGGCAAATAGGGTAAAACGCCTTGATATCCTGAGCCCTGGTCTGAAAGTTTACGCGTCGAGCCGTACAGTAAAACATCCTCACATAAGGTTACTGTGTGGTCCCCCTCCCGCCTAACCCCACCGTTTCGATTCGTCTCTACACTACAGTTTAGAACCGAGCCAAAATCGAGCCACAGCCAAGCCAAATGTAAACACCCTAGGCTCCAATTTTTCCAAGGACGTTTTCCAGGAAACCGACAAGACTGCACTCATTGGCTGGCGCCGTTCAGGAATTCGTGGTTTCTAATTTCTCTTTACAAATGGGCAACGCCCTTCGAATTCGACAAACCTCTGTAGTCCATAGTCATCATGCCAATGTGGGCTGTCTCGTTGCCAGTCCACACTGAAATAAGGGCGACGTCAGGTTGTACAACGTCTGTACGCTCAACTCCGTTTCTTCACGGTGCAAAACGGTACAGCTTGAAAACCGCTTCTTACCGTGTGGAACCGTCCTGAGCCACGATACAAGAACTGTTAAGGTGCTGAGAAATGTAACCTGACGTCGCCCTAAACCACTTACGCCCTTCAAACTGACCCCTGAACTAGTCATACGACCTACAGAAACGCGCGGACACTGGTTCATGAATTTCGAACAAAACAGTCGCCCTCTCATTGAACATCTGCTCCAGCCTCCTCGCACCTCTCACTTCACTGGAGCTTGCTTGCACTCTTGATGGCTTGAAATTGCCCCCCAAAGCTGCGCCGCCATCAAATTGGTTGACTGGTTCATCGCATCACCTCCCTTCCCGCCAGCTGTTTCAAAACCGTTTTTCATGCATCAACCCTCCGTCGCTCTCCCTCGCATAGTGGCGCCCATGGAAACGTAACTTCGTAAGTGACGAGCTCCCTGGACTGTGGCTGCCGGCTAGACCTTTAATCCAGTTGTAGCGAACTTAATCATCAATTCGCGGCACTGTAGTGTTGATTCCGTAGCTTCAATTTTGTTTTCTTGGATGGGCTTGGCTTCTCGGACCCGCTAACCGTCTTGACTGATATTGCGACTATATAAAGTCTGCGAGCAATGGGGTTCGGAAGGCCGTCTGCCGCAATGGCGGCACGACTGCAGGTGGACATTCAGAACGTCGACGCGCGCCAGGAGACAACCGCCCTGACCAACGCCGACGCCGCGTTAGCGGTTCGAACGAAAGCTGCTCCTAGTTCCGCGGGAGGGACCGCTTTCTTCTCCGCCTACTCCTTCTCAAAACTACCCCCGATGGTCGAAATCGACCCTGCCAAAAGCAACAGTAGCAGCAGCGGCGGCAGCGGCAGCGGCGGCAGCGGCCGCAGAGGAGAGGAGGGGGAGGTAGAGGAGGGGCAGATTGCGCCAGCGGTTTTATCGGAAGGGTTAAGCAAGGGCATGGAGGCCTTCGACGAAGAGCTTCATAACTTTCTCAGTTACGAGGGCGAGGATGGCGGGGGGGAAGGGGACGTGCGAGCCGCGGTGGCGGCAGCGGAGGTTGTGGCCGCATCGCCTTCGTCTGCGGCGATGCCGAAGGTCCCTGACTCGCCGGACTTTGCCAAGTACATCGGGTTCAAGGACAGACGCGGCGGGTCGCGGTCATCGAAGTCAATGCGGTCAACAAGCTCAACGCGGTCATCGATTAGCTCAGCTCAGCTTGACGTGAGGTGCGTCTCAAAACAAACTGATATAGTATATGCGACCTGGCCATTCGGTTCAGCTTGCCTTGAACGAACGCTAAGACAGAAAACATCCGCGCGCCTCGGAAGTGAGAGCTGAGAGCAAGGATAGGTTGCGCGGTCGCAGATATTTCGACGACGTAATAGAGGCTAACATACAGGTCAATTATCCGGGTAACTCCGCGGCAGCACTCGTGAGTTCGCGGATTGGTAACCCTTGTGCTGATTCGTGCGTCCCTCTTATTTCATCCTTCCGGCATTTCCAAAGCAGGCAAGCGGCAGCGAAGGCCTCTGCCGCGGTCGCTAACCCTGTTATCGCACAGCAGGTGCAGGCTACGCTTAATAACGAGGCGCCTACTAACGCGGTCAGCGAGCAACAACAGACCCAACAGCAGCAGCAGCAGCAGCAGGAGGCGGAGGCGCAGAACCAACAGCAAGCGCTGCGCCGCAGACTGGGTCCTACCGCGCTGAAGGCTTTCCCCGCGCCCGACGCGCTTCTTACCGCCTCTCCCAGCGGCGGAAAGAAGAAGGTCTCCGCGTTCCGCCAAGCCGCCATCGCTCGCCACCTCCAATCCGTCTCCGCGGTAGGCGCGGGCGGCTCGCCGAACAGTAACCAGGTTAGCTTATCCGCCAATTCCGGCACGTTAAGCCCTGCGGTTTTAAGGGGGGATTCCCCCTCAAAGACAGCAGTCGCTAATCACCGTTTGGCCGCCGCCATTGCCGCCGCTTCCCGCGGAGCAAGCGGAACTGGTTCCTCCCCATCTCCCGCCCAGATTGCGGCGGCGGCGAGCGCCGCGACGCGGCTAGCGAAGCGCCATTCCGCCGATCCGGAGCGCCCCGGCGCCGAGTCCGCCGGAGCGAACAGTGCGGGGAGCGCGGGGGGGAGCACCGGAGGAAGCGGAGGCAGTAACAGCGCGGGAAAGGGTGTGCCATGGGAATTGACGCGGTCGAAAACAGGCGACTCGGGTGGGTCAGCGCATGGGGAAGAAGGCACTCGCGAAGTGCCGGCGCGGAGTGCGGGGACGGGGATGGGGATGGGACTGGGGATGGGGATGGGGATGGGGATGGGAATGGGGATGGGGTTGGCGGAAGCCGAGGAGGGCGGAGCGGCGATCGCGCGGCGGAAGACCGCGGATCATTTGCACACCATGCGGAACGCGCGCGAAGCGGAGAGAAGCATGCAATCGCAGCGCTTCCCCTCGTCTCGCTCCACGATGACCGGCGGCGACATGCCCGTTTCGCTGGAAGAGCTGTGCAGCGGCGGTATTGACGAACTAAGCGACACGGACGAGTTTGGTGCCAGCGACTCGGACGGAGAGGATCTTATCGAGGGGCTAATTCTCCCGTTAGAAAGTCACGCGGTACCGGAACAAGATACACAAGGGATGACTCGAACGAGGTCCCTCGGGAACCTCGAATCGGCTCTCGAAGCGGCTGTTGCGGCGGATCTGGCCGTTCTGCCGTTCGACGCGGCGAAGACAAGCAGCACCGGCGGCGGCTCGGGGGAGCTTATTCGTATGGCGGGAGCGAGAGGCGGGCAACAGGAGTTCAGCACGTTAAAGAGCGCGACGCGGAGAGCTTCGATTGCTGGGAGCGCTGTAACGGCGGCTTCGGCGGCAGTAGCGGCGCGAGGGAAGGGCTGGGGAGTCGGCCTGCTGCACGCGAGGGAGGCTCTAGGCGGCTCCGGTTCGTTCGACCTCGATCGACTTGCCAATAAGCGAGTTGACTTTGGCGGCGCGCAAGGTTTGGGGACACAAACGGGGGGTGTGACTAGAATGAAGGAGGGGGGAAACGTGGTAAAGTCGGGAGAGGTGGACCGTTTCCCGAGCACTCAAGCGTCCGAAGGTGTTTCTCCAGGTGGGGGCTCTGTGGGTTCAGGTGGTGGCGACAGTGGTCGTCTTTCGTCCCTTTCTGCTTCCGCGTCGGGTGGTTCGGGGTTGGAGCTTTACTCTCCGTATCCGGCTGGTGGTAACCCTAACGATATCGCCACAGGTCTGGCTTCCTCTGGCGGCAGCGTTGGTACCGATGTGTTCAGTGGCGGTTTGGATCCGTACGGTGTAGCTGCCGTACCTCTTCCCGTGCCTACGCTCTCGCCTCGGCCATCCAGCTCTGGCGGGGACAGGCCTGCTGGTGCTGGGAGGAGAAGGGACGGGGGGATGGGGGGAGGGGGAGTCGGAGGGCTGGAAGCGTCTGGGTTAGGCGCAGGGGTTGGCGCGCAGGTTGTTGTCAAGGCGGAAAGGGATGCGGATGGGAGGGCAAATGCGGAGAAAATGGTGCTGAGGTGTCCTGTGACTGGAGCGGAAGTGAATATGGGCGATGCGGATAACAAGGGGAACCCCCACGGATCTGCGCATGCGGGCGGAAGCGGAAGCCTGAGCGGAAGCGGGAGCATGAGCGGAAGCAGTGGGCGCAGCGGCGGGAGTATTGGGGGTGTGAGCGCGGGTGCTGCGAAGGGGGGGAGGAGTGGGGAGGTGGGAGCGGAGAAAAGAGGGGGCGGGGGGGGGAGGAGGAGCGGAGGTGATGGGGAAAGTGATTGCAGCGGTGGTTGAATCACATTCGCTTTTCTTCACAGACGAGGTGCGTCCGTAAATATTACTTCAACAAATCTCATACAGAAACAACAATGAGCATCTTAGCTATATTTCATGCTTAAATGGATATTACTGAAAGAAAGAGCGTGTCCTCACATCCCTCCTGCACTTCATTTTCCACTCCCCCTTTTCGTCATCACTCCATCATCAACCCTCTCAATGTTTATCCTCGGGAACCAAAATATAAGCAACTATCACCTTCTTGCCGCCCTTCTTGACCTAACCCAATCCCCCATGGCCGTCATTTCCCATTCCCCTTCCTCAACCCTTTTGTCATCACCTTCCGTCAGCAACCTTTCGTTTTTAGCAACTTATACGCATCCATCTCCCCTCAGCACTCCCTTCTTACCCCCCTTTTTTTCCAACACCAAATTCGCCACACAGACTTCCAATGGAACCAAGATATGCGATCACCTTCTGGCCGCCTTTCTCGACATCACCGAATCCCCCATGGGCGTGATTGCCTCCGTGCTGCATCGTCACGATGGTTCCCCTTATCTCAAGGTGCGTAGAGTTTCATGCATACATGATACTTGCATGCTTGTCACTCACACTCCCTCCCTTTTAATTCCTCTTTCCGTATCTTCCTTCTTTCCTTCCTCCCCCCCCCTCCCCCCCTTCTTTTCTTCCCCTCCCGCTCCCCCACGCTTGATCTTTTGAAACAATTCTTACCGTCCCTTCCTCACTCCACCTCCACCCCTTCTGCCCCACTCCTCCATCCCCCGCCGCACTCCCCCCACTTCCCCAGACCCATGAGGCAACCAACGTGGCATGGACGCCAGAGCTGCACCAGTGGTGTCTGGCCAACTATGCCAGCGGTCTCGTCTTCACCAATATGAACTCCCTCCTCGGCGCCTCCATCACCTCCTTTTCATCCCCCCTTCTCTTGGCCCCTCTGATTCCCTGCTCTATACCCATCTCCACCCCTCTCTACCCCTCTCAACCCCTCTCCACCCATCCAGACCCATGCAGCAACCAACGTGGCATGGACGCCAGAGCTGCACCAGTGGTGTCTGGCCAACTACGCCAGCGGTCTCGTATTCACCAACATGAAATCCCTTCTAGGCGCCTCCATCGCCTCCCGCCAGCCCCACATCTCCAACCATCCGCTCTCCGACCCCCAGTCCTCAGGAACTCCGCCGGGGCATCCAACGCTCCACTCCTTCCTCTCTGTGCCTGTCTTCATGGGTGAGTGGGCTGGGCTGGGCTGGGCTGGGCTACATGTATGGGTGAGTGGGCTGGGCTGGGCTACATGTATGGGTGAGTGGGCTGGGCTGGGCTACATGTATGGGTGAGTGGGCTGGGCTGGGCTACATGTATGGGTGAGTGGGCTGGGCTGGGCTACATGTATGGGTGAGTGGGCTGGGCTGGGCTACATGTATGGGTGAGTGGGCTGGGCTGGGCTACATGTATGGGTGAGTGGGCTGGGCTGGGCTACATGTATGGGTGAGTGGGCTGGGCTGGGCTACATGTATGGGTGAGTGGGCTGGGCTGGGCTACATGTATGGGTGAGTGGGCTGGGCTGGGCTACATGTATGGGTGAGCATGCTGGGCTGGGCTACATGTATGGGTGAGCATGCTGGGCTGGGCTACATGTATGGGTGAGCATGCTGGGCTATGCTAGTCTCTCCTCGTCGCCTCCATAGCCTCCCGCCAGCCCCACATCTCCAACCACCCGCTCTCCGACCCGCAATCGTCCGGCACTCCGCTGGGGCACCCGACCCTTCACTCCTTCCTCTCCGTGCGTGTGTTCATGGGTACGTATGTGTGATGGGCTATGCATCTATGCATGCATGCATGCATGCATGCATGCATGCACTGGTGTCAGTCCCATTTCCTCGGGCACACCCCCGGGGCACCCGACCCTTCACTCCTTCCTCCCCGTGCCTGTCTTCATGGGTGAGTGGGCTGGGCTGTCTCTGTAGTTGTGTGTGCTGGCCTATGTGTGTAGGTGAGCGTGCAGTGCATGCAAGCATGCATGCACTGGTGTCAGTCCATCTCTCCTCAGCTCCTCCATCTCTCCTCAGCTCCTCCATCTCTCCTCAGCTCCTCCATCTCTCCTCAGCTCCTCCATCTCTCCTCAGCTCCTCCATCTCTCCTCAGCTCCTCCATCTCTCCTCAGCTCCTCCATCTCTCCTCAGCTCCTCCATCTCTCCTCAGCTCCTCCATCTCTCCTCGGCTCCTCCATCTCCTCCCGCCAGCCTCACGTATCCAACCATCTGCTCTCTGACCCGCAGTCCTCTGGCACTCCTCGCGGGTGTCCAACCCTTCACTCCTTCCTCTCCCTGCGAGGGCTGGGTTGTGTGTTCTTGTGCAAGTTGGTGTGTTCTTGTGCAAGTTCGTGTGTTCTTTTTTGTGCCTTCTTCGTTTCCTCCTTTTTTATTTCTCCTCCCCCGCTTCTCCCTTTCTTCCTCCCCTTCTCCTTATCCCCCTCCTTTTCTCCCTTTCCTCCTCTCATAATACAGGCACCGAGCTAGTGGGCGTGTGGATGGTTGCGAACAAGGAGGGAGGTTATAACGAGGATATAGTGCAGATAGCAGAGCCACTATCAGCAACGCTGGGGCAGATTCTGTTTGGCATCAGCAAGAGGAAGCGAAGAATGGAGGCCAAGAGCAAGCTATATGAAGGCCGAGTGCCGGTGAGTGGGAACCTGGTGTTTGATTTTTTAAATGTTTTATTAGACATCAGCAAGAATAAGAGAAGAACGGAGGCCAAGAGCAAGCTCTATGAGGGGCGCGTGCCTGTAAGTTCGAAAAGGTTCAAGCAAAGATGATGAGCTGTTAATCACCTAGACATGCTGGGGCAAATCCTGTTTGGCACCAGCAAGAGAAAGAGAAGAGAAGAATGGATGGAGGTCGGCTGCCGGTTCAAGAGCAAGCTCTATGAGCGTGCCTGTGAGTGGAATTTGGTGTGCTGGTTGGCATGGCAGCATGGCGTTTTTTAGCAAGAGGGGTATTACAACTTTTTGACCTTTGAGTCGACTCAAAAGTCACCTCGAGGGGTATTACGACTTTTTGACCTTTGAGTCGACTCAAAAGTCACCTCGAGGGGTATTACAACTTTTTAGTCTCGACTTTTAGTCCCCTCTACGACTTTAGTTCTTTTGCTGTTGATAAACACCTTCTTAACCGTTCTTTTAACATCCCCACTCCCCCCTACCCTGCTGGTATGATTCTTCTCTTCTCTCACTCTGCTCTCCTCGTCATCTCCCTCCTCTTTCTCGCTTTTCTTTTGTTCATTTCTACACCCAATCCCCGTTGCAGGCCGCTGGAGAGTCCCGTCTGGTGGTGGACGCCTTGGGTACAGTCATAGCGTGCAACAGGGAAGCTAGCAAGCTGTTTTGCATGCCCATACTCGCACCGCCGCCAACAGCAGCAGCACCAGCAACAGCACCACCAGCAGCAGCTGGGGCGGCAACAGCAGCAGCAGCAGCTGCTGCCGACGAGGCTGTGTATCCTCCGGCAGAGCAGATCGCGTTCCCTGATCTGTTTTACAACATCAACTGCAGAGAGGACTTCATGTTGCTCGGTACGTTCTGGTGCTGCTAGGTACATTGCGGTTCTGCTCGGTACGTTGCGGTGCTGCTCGATACATTGTGGTGCTGCGTACTCTCTTGCCCCTCTCCTCCGATTTCTGCCTGAATTTGATCCCAGGCGTGGACACACATCTAGACAAGTCCTGCTGATCCATGACACACCAGCGCACTCACTATTCCTGCATACACACATCACTACCGTCTCTCATCTCACTCGCCTTCACCACCCCAACACCCCTCTCTCGCTCCCACGGTCCAGGAGTTGATGCAGATCTGGACAAGTCCTGCTAGTCAACTGAACGCCAGCGCATTCCCTGCCTGCTCCCCGCACCCTCTCCTCATTCCACTCTTCCTCTCCAACCTCCAACTTTCCCCTCCATGATCCAGGAGTTGACGCTCACCTGGACAAGTCCTGCTGGTCCATGGCACGTCAGCGCATTCCCTGCCCCTCACACACTTCACTCAACCTCCTCACCCCTCCCTCTCCCCCTCCCATACTCCAGGAGTTGACGCTCATCTGGACAAGTCCTGCTGGTCCATGGCACGCCAGCGCACCGGCAAGACCATTCTGGCGCTCGTGCGCATAACCAAGCAGAACCTGCCCACGGGTGCTGCTTTCATTTGCTCAGTGTGGGAGATGATTCCACCTGAGTATGCAAAGCTGCTCCGAGGAACCCAGTGATTCCCAAGTGTACTTCCAGAAGTCACCCCCTCCCCACGGGCGCTGCTTTCATCTGCTTGGTCTGGGAGATGATTCCGCCCGAGTATGCCAAGCTGCTCCGAGGAACCCAGTGATTTTCGAGTGTACTCTTAAAAGACACCCCCTTCCCACGCGTGCTGCTTTCATCTGCTCAGTGTGGGAGATGGTTCCTCCTGATTATACCAAGCTGCTTCGTCCAAACCCGTATTTGCGATTCTCGTGTTTACTACTCAGTTTGGGGGAAGTCACCTCTTGCTGGTGCTGCATTTATCGCCTCGGTGTGGGAAATGATTCCGTCCGAGCAACCTGCAAAGCAAGTATGCAATGCAAAGCAAGCTGCTCCGAGCAACCCCGTGATTCTCGAGTCTACCCAAATGTCGCCTCTGCGCTGGTGCTGCTTTCATGGCCTCTGCTTTCCATACTGTAGCGGGTTTAGCCTTTTTGCTTTCTTCCTCGTGGGCTCGTGTTGCTAGGTGGGATATTGTCTCGTTACTTTTGACTGCTGGGGTTGGCTTAACTGAAACTGCCTGGGGTTTCCTTTTTTGCAGCCGCAATTATCTGCTGTTCATGCTCTCCTTGTCTAGTACCGAAAGCCACTGTATAGTACTGGAAAATGTGTGGGTACCGTACTTCTTCTGGGGTTTAATTTGGGGATATATAATATAGTGGTTACCCGACAGCCTTTAAGGTGTGTGTTGGGGATGCATGAGCGAGCAAGCAGGCTGGGTAGCTGTTGAACCTGTATGATGCAGTATGGTACGGTATGTATCGTACTGTATGCATTCTTACGAGTACAAACACTGCAGTTGAGTTGAAACAAATACTGGTACTGGTACTGGTTACAGAGAGGGAGGATTGCAGAGGTATGGTAGGGTAGGGGAAGCCAGGGTGCCAGGCTTAGCTGGGGGGGGGGGGGGGGAGAGGAGGGCGGTGGGGAGAGAGGGGTGTGAGAAAGGGAAGGGGTGCAGTAAATACCTTTACTCTGAGAACCTTGCTTTCATTGTAACCTGTGACAGGACATTCCGCCCTGCTAGGTTTTTGCTGAGAGTACCTTCAGCCTTTTCAGCCTTTTTGCTCAACAATAACTAGCAAACGAAGCGGCTGAATGAACCAAGCATATGTGCTGTGTGTTTCCAGCATGGACAGTACACACCACCGCCACCCTTTCCAGGCAGCTCAGAAGCCCGACTAAGCTTCTACCGTAGCATGGACGGTGCAAGCTCGACCTGGAACCGCTTTTCAAACTCCTGGTCTGTGCACACAAGAAACTGACTCAAGCACACCGCCTTCCGTGCAAGCTCAAACTGGAATCGCTTCTCAAACTCTTGGTCTGTGCACACAAGAAACTGACTCAAGCACACCGCCTTCCGTGCAAGCTCAAACTGGAATCGCTTCTCAAACTCTTGGTCTGTGCACACAAGAAACTGACTCAAGCACACCGCCTTCCTTCCCCGCTGCCAGTCTTCACCTCGCTGGGATAAACGGCCCACAGCCACAGCCCCTTCCACCCCCAACGCAGCATAGCTGTCTTGCGAAATTTCCAAGGAAGTTTGATCCTCAGGCTTCCTAACCCCAAACTCATCTTTCCCATCCACATCCTCCCCTGCTGCTTGCTTCTCTTCTGCCCCCCTCCTCCCAACAAAAATGCCTTCCAAGTGCCCTCCCCCTTCACATTTTTTTGGTAGAGCTACCTCATGCGGCACGAACACATAGCCGTTGCTCAGCAGCGCCACATGTCGCGGTCTGATTCGCCGATCCAAGCTGTACCCAAGGAAGAAAGGGAGCGCAAGCACCTCCGTTATAGGCAGCCCCATGTCCCGTTTTAGGTACTCCACCTTGTGCCTCGTGTTGCTCTCCCAACTTTAGCAGATAGAACTCGGGAACTTAACCACCAGATTCGCTACAAGCTCACGAGCTGCGGTGGCACCAGCAGTGCCCTTAAAACCTCGTCTTTCTCCTGCTCTTGCTTCTGCACCACTCTCCCCTTGCTTCACACGCTTTCTTGCATCCTTTTCAGGCTCTTCAACAGGCAAACTTTCTCGTGCAAACCCATCAGCTCCGCCACCCTCCAATGCCTCTCCCACTTCTCGCACAAGCATCCGTGCACCTTCCTCGAGCATTTGCCTCCCACTCTCCTCTCCTCCACTCTCCTCCAGAGCCTCTTCCACTTCTCGCACAAGCTCGCTAAAACCCCTTGTAAGGTTCTCTTCGTTAATCGCCAGCATCGAAGGATACTGTGCCACTGCAAGCACAGCGTTCTCTTGCCCAATCAGATCGCCCAACAACGCCACCTTGCCTTGCATGTTCTCTACTGATAGACGAAGAACCCCCGAATGGCTGCGCACCGCACTCGCTGCTGCCTTCTTCCCCACCAGTTCCTCTAAGTACTGGAGCTTAGCTAAGAGATTCTGTGAGGTGCGGGACATGAGAGTGGGGGCCCGGCAAAGAACAGGGATAGCAATGGAGGGGCTGCCAGGGGGAGTGAAGGACTGGAGGAGGCTGAGGATGATTGCAATGCGCTCGGGAGACCTGAGGAGGATTCTTGGATGCAGCACCAAAAGTCTGCCCAGGTGCCCTCTGTTGACGCTTCCTTCTTCGTATCCGTTGGTAAGAAACGCTGATACTTGCTCGAGATGACTTCGTAAGGTTTCCTCCCTCATGCTGAGGACATCAGAACCTCTCTCTATAACCACACCCAGCTTGTCAACAGGGACACCTGCACTCTCCACCAGAATGTCCAGGTTTGTTAACGGAGTCCGCATGGTAATGAGATATGGCGACCTTCGGAGCACCGTACCTAGCTTGGTTCGGCGTACGCCCCGAGCCAAGAGAAAGTCAAGCATATCCCGAACCTGGAGAAGGGAGAATCGGAGCCAGGTACAATTTCTAGTGGTGATGACTGAGATGTCAGCACGGGATATGCCATACGACTGGAGGAGGTTGACACGTGGCAGAAGGTCGTTGGTGGGATCAGAACGAAGGAGCGCAGGGCGATAGGTGAGGAGGGAGGCGATAGTGGAAGGGGAGGAGATGCCGAGGTGGGAGGAGAAGAAGCGGTAGAGGGAGAGGAGGGAGGAGGGAGATACGACCCGCCGCCTCTTGAGTAGAGAAGGGGGCGTGGGAGGAGATGTGGCGGGTGTTCCGTCCTCATCACTCGCTCCTGCCTCTGCTTCTGTGTCTTCCCCCTCCTTCCATTCCTCATCCTCTTCCTCAACTTCTGAGCCCTCTGTTTCCTCATCCCCATACCCCACCTCTTCCTCTTCTTGTCGTTCCTTAGCCTCCTCCTCATCCGTAATCCTTCCGTTTGCTGACCCCCCCTCCTCCTCCTCCTCTATCATTATCTGAGGCCCAAATTTCTCTCTCAGCACTCCAGCAATCACCGCCACTGCCTTTTTCTCCTCCTCTGTTACCTCGCATCCTCCCCTTCCTCCACCCTTCCTCCTGTCTCCCTCAACCTTTCCCTTCACTTTCCTTGCTCTCATATCACGTCTCGTACGCTCTCCTCTACCATCCGCCTCCTCCCTTCCCACTCTACTCTCGATCTCCTCTGATTCTCCTCCCTCGCCTTCTCCCTCCTCTCTTCCATCTGCACGCAACCGAGCCTCGGTCTCAACCGTCAGTACTGTCTTGCCATCGAAGCTCGGATCAAATCGCAATTTTGCGCCATGGTGTCGGTTTAGCCCAAACAGGTAGAGGCTCGACGGGGAAGGAATAGCAGCTGCGGATGTAATTCCAGGCTTCAATGAAAACGACTTGGAACGAGGAGTAGAAGACTGTGTCATGTATCTTAGCGAAAACAAAAATCTGTCAATCCGCGCGATGGATGGCCGTGACCTGGAGGTATGAAACGCCATAGCGATTAGCCGACGGATTCTACGGCTTCAGGATAAAACTAATGAAAGATTACATAAACGAATTATACGGCTCAGTGCTTGTCCTACAACGAACTATCTGACGTGATTCCCTGAGCATCGTGCTGTGACTGTTAGAAATCTAACGAGCTGAAAAAGCGCTTCGTCTCCTTGGTTAGTCCATTTCTCTGGCTGCAATTTTCTCGCTCTCTTGTTGCAGATCCCAGAAAACACACGTGTCCTGGTTTTTGAGTCAACGAACAGGTGGCACTGAGATTACCGGGCTGCGACAATACTGGCTGGCGAATCCACCCATTCACATTTCACGATTGCATTGCGACACTGAAACGTCGAAAGCGGAGTTTCATGTGCTTTCACTAGCCCATTAGTTTCACACTTGCGAAGAGTCGTGTACGTACGCCAATCGAGCCCGTTCGTGCCGTTTCGAATTCGTACCCGTTAACAGAAATTGACGGAGCAAGCACATTAGAATGATACCGAAGTTTCACCTTAGGTGGGATCGAGGTCGAGAGTGTATGTGTTCCACAGCAATCTCCCTTCACCGTTCCAACCTTCCCCATCACCTTCCCAATGGCTCTTCTACTCCAATTTACACCCCCCTCATTCCCCCCTTCCCCCTACCCTCCGCAGTGTCCACCATTACCAGGCAATCTTCTAGAATGCTTCAATATAACTGACTAGGGACGAGTTTCCGGCATGAACGGTGCAAGCTCGACCTGAAATCTCTTCTCGAATTCCTAGTCAGGGCATTTAAGCATCTGGATCAAGCACACTGCCTCCCTTCCCTGCTGCCGATTCACACCTCACCGTCCAACAGCCCGTTTTCTCCCTGACTCATCAAGGCTGTCTTGTATAGGTTGCAATGGATCTCCATACACATGCCTCATCCTCACCCCAAACTCATCTTTCTCACCCTCAACCTCCCCATCGTCTGCTTCCTTCTCTTCTCCTCTCCTCGCACTACCAACTCCTTCCAAGTAACCTCTTCCTTCTCCACTATGTTTTGGAAGAGCCACCTCATGCGGCACCAACATATAGCCCTTGCTCAGCAGTGCCACATGTCGCGGTCTGATTCGCCGATCCAAACTGTACCCAAGGAAGAGCGGGAACACAAGCACCTCCTTAATAGAGAGCCCCATGTCCCGCTTCAAGTATTCAATCTTGTACCTTGTGTTCCCCTCCCAACTGTAGCAGATAGATGTCGGGTCTTTAACCACCAGATTCACCACCACCTCACGAGCTGTGGTGCCAGCAATGCTCTTAGAACCTGGTCCTTCTTCTGCCCCTGCTTCAGCCCAGGCCTTGGACCCTGCTTGACAGCCAGCATCGCTTCCCCCTTGCGCCGCACATTCTCTTGCTTCCATATGAGGCGCTTCAGGAGTCCGGCTTTCTCTTGCAAACCCACCATCTTCACGACCCTCCAATGCCTCCTCCACTTCTCGCACAAGCTTCCGTGCACCTTCCTCGAGCATATGCCTCCCATTCTCCTCTCCTCCACTCTCCTCCATTGCCGCTTCCACTTCTCGCACAAGTTCCCCGAAACCCTTCTTAAGGTTCTCCCCATTGGATGCCAGCAGCAAAGGAAACCGAGCCACTGCAAGCACGGCGTTCCCTCGACCGATCAGATCGTCCAACAATGCCATCTTGCCTTGCATGTTTTCTATGGATAGAAGAAGAACCGACGCATGGCTGCGCACCACACTCGCTGTTGCGTTCTTCCCCACGAGCTCCACTAAGTACTGGAGCTTAGCTAAAACATTCTGAGAGCTGAGGCAGAGGAGATGGGGGGCTTGGCGGAGAATCGGGATGGCAACGGAAGGGCTGTCAGGGGGAGTGAAGGACTGGAGGAGGCTGAAAATGGCAGGGAAGTGCCTGTGAGCCTTGAGGAGGATAGCTGGAAATTTCACCAGGAGTTTCCTCAGGTGATTTTTGTCCTTGCCCTGCCTATTCAGGTGTTGCCTCGGGTGCTCGCTGCTGACGTTTCCTCCTTCGCAGCCATTGGTAAAATACGCTGATAGTAGCTCGAGGCGACTTCTTATGACTTCCTCACTCACGAATAGAATATCGGGGCATCTCTCTATAATCACACCCAGCTTGTCCACAGGAACCCCTGCTTTCTCCACCAATATGTCCAGGTTCGTTGAACGAGCTCGTGCGCGAATGAGATATGGAGACCTTCGAAGCACCGCACCTAGCTTGGTTCGAGGTATGCCCCGAGCCAAGAGAAAGTCAAGCATTTTCTGAATCTGCGGAAGGGAGCATCGGAGCCAGGAAGGGCTTCTCATGGTGATGGCTGAGATGTCAGAATGGGATACCCCATACGACTGGAGGAGGTGGACACGTAGCAGAAGGTCGTTGGTGGGATCAGAACGAAGGAGCTCAGGGCAAACGCCGAGGAGGGAAGCGACGGTGGAAGGGGAGGAGATGCCGAGGTGGGAGGAGAAGAAGCGGTAGAGGGAGAGGAGGGAGGAGGGGGAAACGACCCGAGGGCTGTTGCGTGGAGGAGAAGGGCGTGTGGGAGGAGATGTTGTGGGTGGTTCGTTCTCCTCACTCGCTTCTGCATCTGCGTCTTCCCCCTCCTTACATTCCTGATCCTCGTCGCCCTCAGCTTCTGCGCCCTCTGTTTCCTCATCCCCATCCCCCTCCTCTTCCTCTTCGTGTCGTCCCTTAGCCTCCTCCTCATCTGTAATCATTTCATCTGTAAACCCCTCCTCCCACTCCTCTCTCACAATCTGAGGCCCAAATTTCTCCTTCAACACTCTAGCAATCACAGCCACTGCCTTTTTCTCCTTCTCCGTTCCCTCGCATCCTCTCCTCCTTCGATGGTTCCTCCCGCCTCCCTCAACCTTCCCCTCCAATTCTCTTGCTCTCCTATCACGCCTCGTACGCTCTCCTCTGCCATCCACCTTCTCCCTTCCCGCCCTACTCTCGCTCTTCTCTGACTCTCCTACCTCACTTTCTCCCTCCTCTCTTCCATCTGTACACAATCGAGCCTCCGTAACAGCCGCGAGTACTGGCTTGCCGTCGAAGTTCGAATCGAGTCGCACGTTCGCGCTCTCCGCCTCGGGAATCTCTGCTGCTCTGGCGAACGAACCAGCGGGACAGCCTATAGTGAACCTCCGGTCAGGGATTCGAATCCTGGTGAATGCGTTTAGCGCAGGTTGGTGTCGGTTAGGTCCGAACCGGTAGATGCTCGGCGTGGAAGGATTAGTAGCTGTGGGTGCCATTCCCAGCTTCTCTGAAAATGACTTAATACGAGGCGTAGAAGACTGTGTCATGTATCTTAATGAGAATCCTAATCTGTTAATCCACGCGATGAATGGCCGTGATGTTCTGGCACGACACGCCATGGAATAGCTGACAGATGCAATGAAAGGGATGACGGATTGCACAAACGAGTTACACGCCTATAGTGCTTGTCCTACGACGAACCAGCAGAAGTGAGTCCGGATTTCCTGACCGTTGCAGTGACTTCAAGAAATTTAACAAGTTAAAAACGATTCAACTCTATGGTCGCTGGCATGGAGTCATGTCGCTCTCTAGTCGCAAATCCTGGAATGCAGACCCAAGATGACAACAGAGGGAATGCCCTGGTTGTTGAATCAACGGAAAAAAGGCACCAAAAGACTGCAAAGGCGACCGCAGTGAGGCAAGTCGTCCCGCGCGGGCCCTGGGACTACCGAACTAGGGTAACTCTGGATGGCGAGTTTCTATTTAAGGAGAGGATTTCGATACTGCGATGTCGCATGCGGATTTCTTGAGCTTTCGCTAGCCCAATTCGACATTGACGACAGCGTTGGGTGAGCCGTGTGAGTTCGCCCGTCAAGTCATGCCATTTCGAATTCGTACCCGTTTACTGATGCCTGCTACGGATGTGGATGTAATTATACACTTGATAGTTTTCCTCTGAAAGAGATGCAGATTCTACAAGAGACGGTAACGTGCCTGAGAGCGGTTCGGTGCGGTTCTTGCAACTGACAGCTCGATGGCGGGAGGAGCAAACGGCTACACGATTTGGATTCGCTGACACTCTTCTATTTGCGACTCGACAAGCTCGGGGAGGATTTTTCTGTCAGCATCAGCGGGCAGGTTGATTTCTTTGCAAACAATTTTATCCAGAATGAACCAGAGAAACAAGTATACATTATTTATACAATTGCAATAAGGGTTACAAACAGTGAACGATCCAAATGAAACTAGTACGCTTTATGCTTCTTCGATGGTGATGCTGCTCTTCAGCTAAATCCGCCACTTCGGTCTTGACCCCTCTTGGTCGCTAGGAGCAAGCTCCTAGCGTTTCACCCGTACACCGCATTGAGGTGGGGGTTATTCGTACGGGACACCTGTGGGAAACAGGGGCAAAAATTAGATTGTCCCGCCACCGAGCAGAGAACCGCCTCAAATATCCGGATGTCAGATGTCAGGTTGAAGGCGCCTCGAGTCGGGGATGCTCCACAGAAGCTGAGATGGGAAACGCATCTGTGTGCATGCATACTACCCAACCACCCCAACCTCCCTCGAACCTGTACCTCGAGTACCACGAGCGCGCGTCGAGTCGAATCTAACTACCTGTACCACGACTACCACGAGCGCGCGTCTAATACCTGTACCACGTGGATCGCTCCTACTCGCCACCCCGTCGCTCCTACTCGCCACCCGCGTACCTTACCAACTCTCACTTTTCAGCCGTGCCGTGCCGTGCCGAGCAGTGCAGTGCCGTGCCGAGCAGTGCCGTGCCGTGCCGAGCAGTGCCGTGCCGTGCCGAGCAGTGCCGTGCCGTGCGGTTCTTCAGCTCCTCCGCCACGACCTGGAAAGGAAGGAGAGGGAGAAAACGGTGAAAGCTCCAGCGGCCTCCCCTCCACGAAACCTGCGCACTAAAACACGAAAAAACGTCAGTAAAACTGATGAAAGCAAGATGAAAACAAGAACAGAAAGAACAGGAAAAACAAAGACAGGAAAAAGCATGACAAAGCGCGACAAACACGACATAGTCCGAGAAAAAGCATGACAAAGCGCGACAAACACGACTCACCCTTGGTTTCGTTCCTCCCGCCACGACCTCCCGTCCGTTGCGCTCCTCCTGGGGAGACAAGACAGAGCGAGAGACAGAAGGGAAAGCGTGATAGATCCAGCGGCCTCCCCTCCACGAAACCTGCGCACTAAAACACGACTAAACGTTAGTAAAACTGATGAAAACAAGAACAGAAAGAACAGGAAAAAAATAGACAAGAAAAGCACGACAAAGCGCGACAAACACTACATAGGTAGAGAAACTCACCCTTGGTTTCGTTCCTCCAGCCACGACCTCCCGTCCGTTGTGCTCCTCCTCCATTGACCTTCGGAGACAAGACAAGAGTGAGACAGAAGGGAAAGAGTGATAGCTCCAGCGGCCTCCTCTCCACGAAACCTGCGCACTAAAACACGAAAAAAAACGTTAGTAAAACTGATAGAAACAAGATGAAAACAAGAACAGAAAAAACAGGAAAAAAATAGACAAGAAAAGCACGACAAAGCGCGACAAACACGACATAGGTAGAGAAACTCACCATTGGTTTCGTTTCTCCAGCCACGACGTCCCGTCCGTTGTTCTCCTCCTCCATTGACCTTCGGAGACAAGACAGAGAGAGAGACAGACGGGAAAAAATGATAGCTCCAGCGGACTCCCCTCCACGAAACCTGCGCACTAAAAACGAAAAAAACGTTAGTAAAACTGACGAAAACAAGATGAAAACAAGAACAGAAAGAACAGGAAAAACAAGACAAGAAAAGCACGACAAAGCGCGACAAATGTGTCAAACTCATATGCTATAGTCTGTGTAGGCTGTAGTGGGGTAGACAATATGGGGTACAACTCTTTTAGGTTTTCCTACTTGTACCCACCTGCTTGCTAGTTCATTCATTCCTCATTTCTTCACATGGTATAGAGCAGGTTCCCTAGTGGGAACGCTTCTCAGGGCCCACCACTGAAATCGATTTTTTTTTTCTCCTGACCGGAGCGCGAGTCGCCCCTGCCCGAGGAGCGCCCCGTTGGCCGCCCTCACGTCGCGTCCCCTGCCCTTAGTGGCCTGTCGCGCACTCCTAGACGCCGCCCCTCTAGGCCCCTCGCTGCCCCTTCGCGGCCCCGTCGCCGCCCCTCTAGGCCCCTCGCGGCCCCTTCGCGGCCCCGTCGCTGTCAGAGGTCCACCGGTGATCCCCGATTGATCCTAGGGAAGGGTTACAGGCATGGTGGCCTGGGGGGTTATGGGCGCACTGACCCGCTACTTAACAAGCCCTTTTATCCCAATGGTCTAGTGGTTGGGATTCTGACATGGTATCAGAGCGAAGGTCTCGGGTTCGAATCCCAGTGTGTGCACTTCGGGCATCCCAGTGCGGGGGGGTGTCAGAGGTCCACCGGTGATCCCCGATTGATCCTAGGGAAGGGTTACAGGCATGGTGGCCTGGGGGGTTATGGGCGCACTGACCCGCTACTTAACAAGCCCTTTTATCCCAATGGTCTAGTGGTTGGGATTCTGACAGTCGCCGCCCCTAGCGGCCCCGTCGCCGCCCTTCGAGGCCCCTCGCGGCCCCTTTGCGGCCGCGTCGCCGCCCCTAGCGGCCCCGTCGCCGCCCCTATCGGCCCCGTCGCCGCCCCTAGCGGCCTCGTCGCCGCCCCTATCGGCCCCGTCGCCGCCCCTAGCGGCCTCGTCGCCGCCCCTAGCGGCCCCGTCACCGCTCTTCGCGGCCAAGTCGCCGCCCTTCACAGCCCCGTCGCCGCCCCTAGCGGCCCCGTCGCCGCCCTTCGCGGCCCCGTCGCCGCCTCTAGCGGCCCCGTCGCCGCCCTTCGCGGCCTCGTCGCCGCCTCTAGCGGCCCCGTCGCCGCCCTTCGCGGCCCCGTCGCCGCCTCTAGCGGCCCCGTCGCCGCCCTTCACGACCCCTTCAGCCAACCGAGCCGCCGAGCCGCCGAGCCGCCGAACCGCCGAGCCGCCGAGCCTCCCTGCAGCCGAGCCGCCCAGCAGCCGAGCCGCCGAGCCACCGCGCCGAGCCACCGAGCCTCCGAGCCGCCGAGGCCGCCGTCGAGCCGCCACTACCGAGCCGCTGCCGCCGAGCCGCCGTCGAGCTGCTACTATTCCTACTGCGCGCCCCGGCCCTACCCACCCGGACTGGTGAGAGCACTCCCTGCTAGACCACTGCTGTCATGGCTACCCCCAGTGTCCTTACCTTTGATGCTGAGGGTCGTGCTGTTGACTTTGAGGTCTGGGTCGATGACCTCCAGCTCTTCCTACAGTGCGATAGGGCAGACGGACTCTCCCTGTTCGATCTCACCTCTGGTGCCTCTCCTGCCCCGCCTGCTGATGCTGACAGCACTGTTCGCTCACAGTGGGCCACACGCGATGCTGCTGCCCGTCTTGCTGTGCGTCGCCACTTACCGACCGCTGAGCGTGCGCACTTTAGTCAGTACAAGAGTGCTAAGACCTTGTACGACGCTGTAGTTGCACGCTACTCTTCACCTGCCACTGCTGCTCTTAGCCGCCTCATGCTGCCGTACCTGTTCCCTGACCTTGCTGCCTTTCCCACAGTCGCTGACCTCATTACGCACCTTCGCACTAGTGACACTCGCTACCGCACTGCGCTTCCTGCTGAGTTCTGTGCCAAGAACCCTCCCCCTATGTACATCACCCTCTACTACATAGTCACCCGGCTCCCTGACTCGCTTCGCTTAGTCAGGGACCACTTCCTCTCAGTTTGCCCCACCACACTCACCGTTGACCTCCTCGAGGAGCGCCTCCTGGCAGCAGAGAAGAGCATAGTCGCTGTAGGAGCCTCTCGTGGTGACCCCCGTACCCCCGTCTTTGAGGGGTGTTCCCCCTCCCCCCTCTTGCCCTCTGTTGCTTCTGCTGCTGCGGCCGACCTCGTTGGCTTCGAGTCGGTCGGCACTGCGTCTGCCCCTAGCGGGAGACGCCGCACCGGCAAGGGGAAGGGGGGGCAAGGGCACTGGAGGGGCTGGCGGGGGCGGTGGAGGTGGCGGTGGAGGCAGTGGAGGGGGTGGGGGTGGTGGTGGGAGTGGTGGCGGGGGTGGAGGTGTCGGTGGCAGCAGTGGAGGCGGAGGAGGCGGCGGTGGCGGTGGGAGCGGAGGCGGCGGTGGTGGCGGAGGCGGCGGGGGCGGCGGTGGAGCTGGTCGCGGCTCTACGCAGAGGAGTGGCTCCGGTGGTGGTCCGCGCCAGCTGCAGCAGCGCACTCGTGAGACCCTGTCCCCCCAGCAGCTTCGTGAGTGGAACCCTGGGCGTCAGCGAGGTGTGGG